TTTGCACTTTCCAATAATATGGGAATGCAAAATAACTATCAAAAAATGGATATAAATTTAGAGCCTTTGTTTTCGCATCCATGAAATGTATGAAAAACTTCAGTTTCGTGGCAAAAAAATTATTTTGAAGCTTTCTAAACTGAGTGCGAGGAAGCCTTGAAAATATAGGACAAATTATTATCTGTGATTTGTCTTCATCACTTCCCTCATTTTGGATCATATCTCATTTCAATAGAAAATACTGATTTAAATTGGATACTAGGGCTAAGACATAGCCAGTCATAACAGTGTATCGTAACGCAAAGGAATACAATGATAGTTAGTAACATAGTTCATTTCAACCTCAGTTTTGCTTTGATTCAGCTACAACGAAATCCGAGGATTCTGATCTTGATCAAATCTATCCTGAAGTGTCTGCCAAATGTCTGGGGAGGTTATTAAACTTCTGGCTGGAACAAGACAGTGCTTCAACTTGATTTTCTTAGGAATTCTGCTTGAAGGAAAGAGTATGTCAACATTATACCCTATCTTGCAACATATTTATCATTATTATGTTGACACGGACGTGCATACATACACATCTCCATTGAAATATCCTCATTTGACAGTGGCAAAAGCAAGGCCAGATTTTGGCCCAGCATCTTTTGGAATTTCTAACAATATATGTTCCCTGGTTCTGAAAGGCAACTTTCATCTGGCTGCTTGGAAGATCTTCAAGAGTTTGAGCTCTGCAAGGTTTGAAAGAGATAAAGCGCATATTTTTGTGTGTTTAGAATTTGTATAAAATACAGATTGGTTTCATCTTCCATTGATACCACTGATTGCAAAGGAAGTATTCCCAACATTTGGGAAGATGTAATTGGGCTTGAAGTTTTAAACTTTATGCGTGGAAATTAATTTGTGTGCATTAACGCTGATACATCAGTCATTTCACAAGGTCATTTGCCAAACAGAGTGCCACGATATTGTATATATGTACAAACACAAATGCGAGTTTTGATAGCCCTCTAGACCTGAAACCTTTTAAAATATCCAGTGTTTATCTAACCTTGCAAAATGGTTTTAAATAGCCAGAAATAAATTGCAATGGAAGACAACTTCATAATAATCACTAGAAATATTTTCTAGCAAAAATTGCGTGGGTAAGATGAGGGGATATGCATAAGCTGCCCAAAATGGGCTGTGGACTGGGAGGACTGTGGTAGAATGGAAGCACGGTGGTTCTCAACTGTCTTTTTCTTAGTGACTGATCTTAGTGACTGTTAGTAACATCTCACTGTTTCCAAAGGTAGTAGCTTGGGTTATGGCTGCTTTCTTCATGTCAGCGCTAGTGCTTGCATCACAGCTTCAGCAAGGCACATTTGCCTAAAACGAATTCATGAAAAATGCAATCAGTTTTTGATCAACAAACAAATGGATCTAGTTTACAAGGAGATCGATCAGGAACCAGAGAGGGCAGAAGGGAGGAGGGGCTGCATGGCTGAGAGCTGGGTGAAGGGAAGAACATAACTGTCTTTTGCAGTAGTGAACCAGACATTCAGGTGGAGCAGTTGTACCAGAAAACTTCTTTCAGACAACCGTAGCCCAATGGTTTAATCACAGAAAGGTCTGTGTACTGCCAAGGGCTGCTAGTGCAGCTGAGTTGTGGAGTTGGGCTTTCAAGCAGTGGAAAACTGAAGCTCTGATGTGTGGGGGGACGGAGGGGGGGGGTGAAGCTCCTTCATTAGCTGAGGATAGGGTTTAAACGTTAGTTTTTGTCTAGGGCAAACAGTTTCACTGTTTATCAGTGTGTTCTGATCAGATAAAGATATGACACTTCTGGTGTAGCTTTTAAGAATAAGCAAGTTGATTTGACTTCAGTGAAAATAGAAACCATTATATACTATTCAAAGCATTCTTTTGTTCATTGAAGTCTTTCTCTATATCATTTTTAAGCATTTGCTAGGACTGGAATTCTTACACTGTGGCCTATTGTGCAGTTTGTAGAGGCCTGTGAAGTTCTGTGATTTTAGTTCTGCTTAAAAGACAGATAAAATACAGTAAATATTTTTTACTGTGGCTTTTCCTTACAAGCAACTACTGCTTTGGCCACCAGATTTATGATTACTCTGCAGAAGAGGAGGTGTTTCAGAAAAGAGGTGCTCCGTGAAATAGTTACATTACGTATTAAAATATAATGTTTGAAAACATTTGATTGGCAGCCTTGCACACTTAGTAACAATGACCTTCAGTGGCTTGAAATACTATTGTAATTTTTCAATTTGCTATTATAAAATCCAGATCTCATAAACATATTATTATCTTTCCATTATGATTACTTATTCCATCTGAGGTCTACAATGCTTTTCTGTAACATCTAAATGGAAATGGGATTAGGATGAGATTCTGTCACTCCGGAGACTTGTGGAAAAAGGTGGGAATATGCACAGAAAAGGTCATTTCTTAGGGGCAAGATGAATGAAATGACAGTGAGCTATGATGAAGGACAGTACTAGCAATTTTACATATTTCTAAATTGATTGTTCTATGCTGGGGAGACTAATGTGAAGAATAACGCACCCTTATTTTCTTAGAATCAAAGAATCACCAAGGTTGGAAAAGGCCTCCAAGATCATTCAGTCCAACTGTCCACCTACCACCAATATTTCCCACTAAACCACGTCCCTCAGTACAACATTTAAACATTTCTTGAACATCTCCAGGATCAGTGACTCCACCACCTCCTTGGGCAGCCTGTTCCAGCACCTGACCACTCTCTTGGAGAAGTATTTCCTAACATCCTACCCGAATCTGCCCTGGAGCAACTTGAGGCCATTCCCTCCAGTCCTATCACCAGTTACACAGGAGAAGAGGCCAACCCCCACCTCACCACAACCTCCCTTCAGGTTGGTGTAGAGAGTGATAAGGTCACCCTTGAGACTCCTCCAGACTGAAAAATGCCAGCTTCCTCAGGCACTTCACTGCCCTTCTCTGGACATGCTCCAGTGCCTGAATCCTTCTTGCAGTGAGGGGCCCAAAACTGAACGCAGCGCTTGAGATGCAGCCTCACCAGAGCTGAGTCCAGAGGGATGATCACTGCCCTGCTCCTGCTGGCAACACTATTTCTGATACAAGCCAGGATGCCATTGGCCTTCTTGGCCACCTGGGCACACTGCTGGTTCATGTTCAGCCAAGCACTGATCAATACCCCCAGGTCCATTTCCTCTATGCAGTCTCCCAGCCACTCTGCCCAAGCCTGTAGCATTGCCAGGAGCTGCTGTGGCCAAAGTGCAGGATCTGGCACTTGGACTTGTTGAACTTCGTCCCATTGGCCTCAGCTCAGCAATCCAGCCTTTCCAGATCGCTCTGCAGGGCCTTCCTACCCTCAGGCACATTGACACCTCCGTCCAACTGGGTGTCATCTGCAAACTTTCTAAGGATGCGTTTCACAATAGGCACATATATAAAAAATCAAGCTTAAAAATGATTCATGGAAACAATGTCACTTTCTTAAGTTACTAATTGCTTTCATTTTATTTGTTTTTTTTTTTTTTTTTTTTTTTTTTTTTTTTTGATGAATGCGGTTGCTGTCCCTGACTTCACGGGATAACTTTAGTAACAAAATCTAGCTTATTGAATATTCAGAAATTACTGCTTTCAAGAGTCCAGTCTCCATACTGAGGATCTTGACATCTATTCATGATTTTATTTTCTGACTTCTTAACTACCTGAAAATCATATTTGAATGGACAAACAATTAATAACATGCCTTGTGATTCTTCTGGCAAGCAATGATTGTAATCAGACTAATAAAGGTGACCTGTGGCTGAAAAATCAAATCAGGACTCCTTTGCCTTGTGAAGTACTCCCGTCAAACCTCATCTTGCTGTGATGAACAGCTTTATGGAGGAAACTATGAGCACAGGTAAAACATAATGGCATTTAAAACCTGTTAGTGCATGTACTTGAAAACTTTTCTTGGTTTGAATCTTGCTTTGGATGGGGCATTCTATAGCAACATCAGGATGACAACCTTTGGTTCTAACAAGGAACTGAACGCGTCTTTCCCAGCAACACTGAAAATTTGCTGGAAATCTGCACTTTTTTGCAGGTTCAGATGCACTGTTTTAAAGGTATACGACAGCCTGAGTTATAGGCAAGTTTGTAGGGCCTCTTGAAACATGTATGAGGACTGCTCCAAAAGTAATGCCTTATTTATTACAATGGCCCATGACATCAGAGGTAGATGTTGTCTGTGTGGCAGTAGAGGTTGAACCTTCCTGCCAATATTCCATTACATTTTGTTGCCATGAGACACAGGGGCACTGTGACAGCACGGCATCTGACGTGGAAGTTCTTAAGAAGAAAAGGAGCATCACTGAATTCCTCCAGGTAGAAAAAACAGCACCACTGACATTCACTGACGCTTGCTGAACAAGGATGGAGATCAGACAGTGGGTGTGAGTGCAGTGAGGTGGTGGATGCTGCAGTGGCCATGTTGCAGGCAGCCATGCCCGGCTGTTGCACCACAAAACGAAGAGCTCTTGCTTATTGCTGGAGAAAATGCATCTCTACTGATGGCGACCGTCGAAAAAGAGTGCCTTGTAGCGGAGAGATCTGTGTTTTGACAGCGTTATTGTGCGCTTTGCTGTAATTTCCGTGTTAATAAATGGGAGACATTACTTTCAGAGCAACCTGCATATAATAACCCTCCGAGGCTTGTTTAAAACTCATTTTTCGGACTTCCCCAAGCACAGTGACCGCGAACTGCTTATCGCCGTATGGCTGGCTGTAGATCACGATCCCCACTCGAGGGCTTCCTTCAGCCCCGTTTCCTCAGGACGTCCCGAAGCGGGAAGGAGCGCGCGCCTCACACAGCGGCCGCCTGACAGACGGGCGGGAGAAGCAGCGCAGCCCGGCGCCAACGCACGGCGCGCCCCTGCGCCTCGCGCGCATGCGCAGCCTGATGGGCGGGGCCTCGGCGCTGTTCGAACGGTGGCGGGCCGCGGACTTGTGGCGGCATGGCGGCTCGGGGATCTCTGTTCCGCCAGTGCCCGCTGCTGCTGCCTCAGAACGGCGAGGGGACGGCCTACGAGGGCTTCGTCAGCGCGCAGGTACCGGCTCCGCTCGCGTCGCGCTACTCGACGGCTGTGTGAGGGCCTCTGAATGGAGCCCGGCGCAGCGGGGCCGCCGCGCTGCCCGGAGGCGCCCGGCTCCGTGTGAGGCGAGGGGGTGCCGCGCTGCGGCCGCGGCTCTGTAGCGTGTGTGGTCGCAGCCCGGCTCTGCCGTGACAAACAAGGCGCTAGCGTGAGCGGCTGCTCTCTGATGCGGCTGTGGGATCGAGGCTGGGGCTGCGGTGTAGCGAGGGTCTGAAGTTACTGACGATCTTAGTGAAAGGCTCAGCCTTCGGAGGAGTTTGGAAGCAGTTGGTGCTCCAGTGGGCTGTGTTCTGCTCTGGGGCAGGCGCTTTGTTTTTGCTGATGGGGATCGCAGATGTGGTAGGACTCTCTGGAGTCCCTTGGCAGAGACTTAGGGCAGGCTGTGTGCATTCAGGTTTTGGATAAACTCCAGGAATGGAAGCCCCAGGACCTCTCAGGCGAGTAGACCCAGTCTTTGACCACCTACACTACCAACAAGTGTTTCTCTTGTGGGTTTTTTGTTGTTGTTGTTGTTGTTGTTCTCCCCCAACCTCACTGCATCTAAGTGAAGATTCCAATATTTAAACTTATACCCACTGCCTCTTGTCCCTTGGGTGTGTGTCACTCCATTGAGTCTGACCATGTGTTCTTTTCTCTTTGTCAGGAATTTTTTTTTTTTTTTTTTTTTCCCCACTGTGAAAAGTGCTTTAATGGTGCCTATACAGCATTGGAAGTGACTTGAAGACAAGAGAAGGAACACAACACAGAAGTTTTGAATGACAGTTCATACAGCTTTAAACAAAACTTACAGGTGTCATCAGCATAGCTCTTACTCTGCCTCCTCCTCAGCCTCTTCCTCAAACTCCCCCTCCTCCTCAGCAGTAGCGTCCTGGTACTGCTGATACTCAGACACCAGGTCGTTCATGTTGCTCTCAGCCTCTGTGAATTCCATCTCGTCCATGCCCTCCCCCGTGTACCAGTGCAGGAAAACCTTTCAGTGGAACATGGCTGTAAACTGCTCTGAAATGCATTTGAACATCTCCTGGATGGCTGTGCTGTTACCAATGAACGTGGCAGACATTTTCAGGCCATGAAGTGGAATGTCACAGAACGCTGTTTTAACGTTATTAGAAATCCACTCAACAAAGTAACTGCTATTTTTGTTCTGGATGTTTGCTCATCTACCTCTTTCATGGACATACGGCCTCTGAAAACAGCAGCTATGGTCAGGTAGTGGCCATGCTGTGGGTCACGCGCAGCCATCATGTTTTTGGCATCAAACATTTGCTGCGTGAGCTCTGGGACGGTCAGAGCACAGTACTGCTGGCTGCCGTGGCTTGTGAGAGGGGCAAAGCCAGGCATGAAAAAGTGCAGGTGGAAGGGAGCCATTATTCACTGCTAGCTTCCGCAGGTCGGCATTAAGCAGGCAGGCAGGTGGTGACGCTGCTCATGGTGGCTGACACTAAATGGTTCAGATCACTGTATGTTGGCATAGTTAACTTCAGTGTTCTGAAGCATATGTCATAGAGAGCTTCGTTATCAATACAGTAGGTTTCATCTGTGTTCTCCCCGAGCTGGTGCACCAACAGTGTGGCGTTGTAGGGCTCTACTACAGTGTCTGATGCTGCTCTTCCCCCCAACTGTGTGTAATTTGTACACACTGGCTTTAAGGGTACTTCAGATGCTTAAATCACCCTCTTGGCTCTCCATGGTCTAACTTCAGTGTGTCTCTACTGCATCCCAGGAATGCCTTACCACCCCTGAGCAGAGAGGAAACATTGCCCCTGGGCCTGCTGGCAGCTCTGTCTAATGTAGCATTAGAGGCACTTCACCTCCCTTGTTGCAAGGGCGTACCGCTGGCTCGAGGTCAGCTCTGTGCCCACTGGGATCAAACACGGCCTTTTCTGCAGAGCTGCCCTCTACTTGCTTAGTACTTTGGTGCATGGTATTATTACCAGTTCATGTCATATCAGCTGCTTCCTCCAGTCTTCTGTCCTCTGCAGACTTGCTGAGACTGCAGTGTCCCCTCATCTGGGTCAATAACTAGGGTTTAGTAGTGTTGACCCCTGGTGTGTGCCTTTAGTCAGTGGCTTCCATCTGGACATTGTCATGCTGAGCACAACCTTTAGAGCCTGGCACCTTTAACAGCCTTCAGTCCACCTCACTGAGAGCCTCTTATGGAAAAAGGTATTGAAAGCCTTGCTGGGGTCAAGGCAAAACAAAATTAGAATATATTTGCTGTTGTTCTTACCTTTCTTCTGAAGAAATGTCAGAGTCTGTGGTAGTAGTTCAAGGTGTGCCGAGATGGAAGAGAATCTGAAGTTTTGAGATAAGTTCATTGTCCACTTCTGGGAGGTGTCTTACAAACCTTTATTTCAATTCTGTTTTCATAATCCTTTGAGAATGTTGGGGCAAGATCATGAATAGGGGCAATTAATAAAAATAGAAGTGAACGGTGTTTAGGAGCTGCTTTGTAAAGACTGCACCAGTGGGGCCAAGAAGTATGTTAATGTGGTTGAGACTATTTGAGTTTATGGCTTCTAAGTTGCTGAAAGTCTTCTGTGCGTAAGTGCCCAAGTTCCTTTTTAGCATAGTACTTTTATAATAAAAGTCTACTCTCTTCCTTGAGTTGAAAAGACGTTCTCACAGACTTCAGCATGACTTGGACTGTGGCATGTCCAGATCTGAGTAATGCTTTTTTTCTTTTTTAAATGAATTACTTTTCTTTATAAAATATGATCTACTGAAAACATTCTTATTGAATACTGTGAGTTACAGAGATCAAGAATATTTCAAGTTGAGAATTAAAACCAGGATTATTCCTACCTGTTACTCATACTGCCTTTTTTTTTTCTAAATGAATAAATTCTGCGTAATATTCCTGAAAGTCACAGAAGAGAAATTTTCTTGCTTAGCAGTCAATACTTTCAGGAAGTATTGCCCACAGTATCAAACAATGTTTCTTTGCTGGCCTTCCTACTAACTAAATGCTTATTTTCAAGGGTAGAGACTTCCACATCCGGATACTTTTACCAACAGATTCTCAACTGAAAAATGCAAGGTAAGATAGTCATATGGAAAAAGATGTGTGAGTGTATGTAAGCAAGCATATTTGATGAAAGCAATGATGAATATGTGTATTAATTGGTACCTTTTTCCAGTATGAATGTTAATAAACGCTAATAAACAGTGATAATAAATATCAACTGTATCAAAATATTTTGTTTTAATTAATTGGCTATTTTTATATAAGTCAGTGTACTTGAGAAAATGTTTATTTAGATCAAACTATTTATACGTCACCATTTGGAAAACAGAAGATGCAGAGTTGTAAATTAAAGGAGTTATATACTGATGTTAAAATGCTATGCTATTACTGAGCTTCTCTTTAAAAGCCCTGTTCTTATTGGTGCAGTTGTTTGTCACAGTGGTATTTAGGGATGTGCACTGTATGTATGCATGCATACATTCGTTCTTGGCATTCCACTCTATGCTTCTACCTGCTGTGAACTGTGAACAAGTGATATTAGGTAGCTTTTACATTCTAGATCAGCTAGCCAGAACGCCATTATAAGTAACTGACATTTTCAGGCTTGAGTTTTAAAATACTGGTATTTTTTTATGAAGTCATATTAGCTTGGAAGAATTATGTTGCTTTCAGCAAAAAAAGAGGCTTAATTTCTAATGGGCTGTGGATAGTGACATTTGAAAATTTGAAATGTATTTGAATATGAAATCTCAAAGAAATTTGAAGTATTGTTTAATTCCTTCTATGTTGTTGGCACCAAACTTTGTGATCCTTTCTCAAAATCATGTAGCATGAATTTAAAATAAATACAAAGTACTGTTTGTCCAGGATAGAGTGTGGCTGGCAGCTGAAGAAGATCCTTCATGGATATCGGCATATTTTGAAACAGGTATGCTGCTTCTAAAACCATTTCTGTTAGATGTCTATCTATGATGATTCTCTTAAGTGTGTGTGTGTGTATGATTTGTGAAACTTCTACTCACGCTTGTTCTGAAAGTGTTAAAGAATTCTAATTTCACCTTGTGGGCAAGATGTGCTATTGAGTATTTGCAGACTGCTGTGAGGTGAGATGGATTGGAATTAGAAAACAGTCGCTTTTTATTCGAGGTTTGGAGTGAGGCTTTTTGTTTGTTTGTTTTCCTTTTGTTCATTTTTGAAGGTTAAGTTAGAACTCATAATAAATTACAGCTGACATCTTACACTTTCCTTAATTTCTCTCTGTATATGCAATAAATTGTTCATAGTGCATAAAGGAAAAAAATCACAGAAGTTGTTGATTTATGTAGCTCATTCTGTGTTGTGGGCAGTCAAGGAATCTAAGTTAAACCTCTCTGTCCTGGAGAAACTTTTAGAGCAAGGATATAACTGCCCTCCAGCCATGGAGGATATTGTAAGGAAACATCTGCCAAATGTGCAGATGGCATCTCTCAGACTTTGTGCTGCTTTGTAGGACAAGAGTTGCAGCTCTGGAGTATCTTAAGTTACAGAGCTACAGAACCAGGAGCATAAATATGTTTAGGATCCTTTAGAATGTGCGGTATCTGGAAGTAGGTGGTTCTTGAGAGTTCTTAAAGAAAATTGAACTGAAAATGTTTTGAGCAATTCAGAAGCATCTCTTCTTTCTGGTAGAAACTGAAGTGTCCATAAAAGTCTTCCTAAATACAGATAAATGCATGAAGTATGAAGTCTTCACAAATCACGTAACAAATGTGTTACGTGATGATATTTGACAAAGATGGTAGTTAATTTTCACTGAGGTTCCCTGAACTGGAGGCTCGTTTTTCAATTGAGGTATTTAAAATTTTATGTGGTTGAGATTTTTTTTTTTTTCCTTGTTAGTGGCTTGATAACACCAGAAGAGTAGATATTTAGACTGGAATTATTTACCACTAAATGTTATGATATGAAAACAATGCTCTGTTCCTTCCAGAGGTTGCACGGTTGTCCAGATCTTGTCAGTTTTGTGGTGGAGCTGAAAACTGTCTTGGTAAGTGGCAGAATATCCAGAATATCGATGCTTGTGCTTTTTCTCTTGTTGTGGTGGTGTTTTTTTTAATGTTTTTTTAACATACAAGAAAAGTATTACACAATATCAGTGTGTTGCTCAAGCTGTTTTCGCTTTTTCACTGTATGCTGTTGGAACACTGTTTTTTTTTCAGTTTGACTATCCACTTTCATTGTGCATCTCAGGGTAGAATTAAGTTTAATAATAATGAAAAAATCCTTGCTCCTGATGCTGCTTCAGTAGTGTCTTCCACATCTGTCAGGTACAAAGCTCTGAGGCTGAGTGACGTTGATAGCAGCTCTTGAAAGTAATCCTTCATCGTTACTGTAGTTTTGGAAACAGATCTCACTTTATATGATCTGTAAGCAAAATTTTAAGCATGCTTTTCAAGTCCAAGTAGTGCAACACTAAGGTGGGCAACACGTGGCTTTGTGTTTGTTTGTTTTTCTGTTGTTTTTCCTCTGTAATTTGGTATGAAGTTTTTCATAGAACTTTGGAGGCACCTGCCTAATGAAAGCCTGTACACAAACTCTGGGATCCTATTGTATTAAAACAGAGACACTGATAACTTTTTGACTGACAGTGTGTGGCTGTATATGAGGGATTCCATGTTTCCTTATGTGGCTGTGATGCTCAGGAGGCAGCTGTGGGCTTCACAGAACCTTCTTTTGAAATTTTCTTTCAGACAAGATGCTTGGCTTCCAATTTATTAGATGAAAAAGAGGCACATTTGATATTTGCATCTGAAGACTGTTGTCAACATCTGTGTTTTTTTTTTTAAATTGCAGATGTTTTCATTAGCAGTATCTGAAGTAATTTACCAAACAGCTTTTGTCTGCTTTAGCTGGAGGCTATAACAAAACAAATGCAGTGTACAGTTAATTTTACATAAGTTTAATATTTTGAATGAATCGCAAAAATCACATAACTAAGTAGATGCAAAAACATTGAAATCTTCCTTAATGATGTTTTTAACATTCTTTTAAACAGGAAATTGCTTTGAAGAATACACAAGAGCTGCATGTACCAAGGCCACCAGAATACTACTCCTGTCTTGTCAGAGATCTAGAAATATTGGGTTGGAATAAGTATGTTTATTTTGTTACCTAGTCGAATACCCTCTCATACATATATGTTAGGTGTTGGTTTCACATATAACTTGTTAATTTATCCTGGTCAGAAGAAGTTTTAAAATAGCCTGCTGCAGCACAAAGTAAAAAAAAGGATGAAAAAAATAAATCAAAACCCTGCTTCAGCTGACGACACATTTTTCAGTATTGGATAACTGAGCTGGGGTTTGAGACTGTACTACTAACCAATCGATTCTGTGACCTACAAACTATTGACATAGTGAACAATACTATATTTATAGGGTTTTTTTTTTTTTTTACTATTTCAGTCATGCACTGAGTTATATAATTATAACTGACTTCATGATGGTGTGGTTCTTCACAAAACTAAAAAAGCATAGAAGAGACTTTGGGAATTTGTTATTCCAGAACTGCAGAACAATCAGCCCTTGAGAAACTACAGAAATTGATTGTTTCTGGCTACCCAGGTGGTTCAAACAAAGATGAGGGCCTATGAAAGGCATCTGGTGGGTTTTCTTGACTCAGCTGTGCAGGGAGACCATGTTTGGGTCTCCCCAAACAGGGGACCATGTTGCTTTTGAAGGAATTGGTTACTGCACAAGGAGAGAGTAAGCTGTGTTACCTGATCAGGTTGGCTTAGTGCACCTGAGTGCAGGATTTCACAGGAGGGGTACCATGCTGTTGTATAAAATGAGTATCTATGAAATAGGGAATGAAATTCAGGTGGTCTTCTTAGGGAAGTAAAATAGTAGTGAATCACAAAAGATGCTTATCTTTGTTGAGGAAAGAAAAGTACACGTAGCTGCATCTGGGAACTTATTTGTTAGGCTATTGCATGTGTTCAAACAGGTGATATTTATTCACAATCCGGCAGGCCCTCAGATGAGCTGATTGTAGGAGTGTCAAATTAAAGTTCTTCAAAGGAAGACATGGATCTCCTCTTATAAAAATAAAGGAGCTGGGGTTGTGATCAAATACTCAATGTCTGTGCAGAAATGTTTCAGGAATCTGCAATGCTTCCTGATTTGCAGACTTCTGGGAAGGCTTTACCTGCCATCACATGTCACTACTAGCAAGTTCTCTGATATCAAACAACTTAATCCTCCAGCAGAGAGCTTGGAATGACTTATATCTAGGTAACCTTTATGGAATTGAAGGCAGTTATTTCTGTGTAGGCACAGAGAAAATAAATTTGTAGACTGTGTTTAATTTTACTGATAGCATGCAATTAATTTGAGTGCCTTCTTTCAAGGGGCAAAGATGAAAGATTGAAGAGTTTTGAATGAGAAGCTGTATTTTAGGTTCTCTAAAACAAAAGTTTGAAACAGGAGGTCTGCAGTTGGAACTTTCGGAATGACAAATGTACTTTTGTTTCTTAATCTTGGCTGGTATTTAACATGTTTATTTCACCACATGAAGTAATTTTTTTTTTTTCTAGAGCCTTATGTTGAGGAATAGTCCTAAGTTTTCTCACTTTTGCGTATGAATAAGTAATATGTAAGTAACATTAAGTGGGAATTTGTTTTGAAGACCTCCTCTTTAAAACGTCCTTCAGCTACAGTAATTTCCATTATTGAGGATGTAGCTGGTGGGTACAGCTGATGGCATATTCTTCAAGCAGGTCTGAGAATATGTATTTATAAATTGCATATCACTGAGCATAGTACACTCTTGAAATAATTTTAGTAGCTTATCTCAAAGAGAGGAGTACTTCTCTCTTGCTATAAATGTAAAATATTCAGTGGTTTACTGTTAAAAAACACACCAGTGTTTTATCAGAGAGCATGCTTCTAAGGCAGAGTTTGCCTCATTTTCTAGTTAAAATTGGTTTTTGTGTGGACAGACAACTTGTGCTGTGCTTTTGTCCAGTGTACTCAAGTAATTTTGTAGACATGGATCTCTTGATTAATGTGTTATGGTTGCTGTTCAGCCTGGGAGGTGGGGAGTCAGTTGTTAAAAGGACTGGGCTGTACATAAGGGATCATGTCTGCTTTACAGTGAGTTGATAATTCGAAGTGTATTAGCAAGTTCCTCCTCTAATTAAAAGTATAATGAACTACAGAGAAGGCCACTTAACCTAAACTGGTTTTGGGCTGCAAGAGATGTGTACTTGCATATTAAAAACATGGTGGTATGGTCTAGCAGAAAACTAAGCCTTCTTACTGCCAGAAAACTTCAATTAAATGCTCACACCTTGTGACACATCTGGCTTTATTTATCAGCATTAGTCTTTGAGGGAGAAAAAGAAAAAGACAAAAACTGGCTTGTTGTGGACTTTTTCTCAGTAAGATTTTTGGGCCGTGCTCCAGCCAATCCATCTCTGAATGCATCCAAATCCAACTGAAAAATTTTCTTATTTGAAAGAGAATCTAAACAATAGGGTAATAGTCCCTTATCTCTAACGTGAGCTAAGAAGCTTTTAGGGATGGCAGAAGTGTATTCAAATAACTTATCTAAGGAATATGTGGAGTTTCTCAAAAACAAATTGTAGACGTTACTTGAAGTGATCTTATGCCTCTTTCCTCTTCAACCGCTGAGAGTAAAACCAGTAATGAATATTGTAAGTGGGCAGGCTGCCATTGTTAGATATAATCACTTTCTCTGTTATAATGGAGGCTTTATTTTTTGACCTAATTTTAGTGTGGAGTACACATTCTTTCATAGTCAAATACTTGTTCACAAAGGTCACATTTCAATAGGTTCTACGGTTTAACTGAATTTCCTATAGTAACTGCTGTCCTTCTTGAAGCTGGAGTGTTCAAAAGAAGTTACTCGTATAACTTTAAGAAGATGAAGAAACTGGCACAAAATAGTTTGCTGAGATGGGGAAGTTTGCTTGTGAACCCTTATAGTAGTAAAATAAGTGAAAGGTTTTTCTAGTGTTATAATCTGACTAGTTGAGGTAGGGAAAATGCTTCAGGTAGGTTGCTTAATTTGTCACCCTTGTGTGGATGACATCTCCAAATTATGCTTGACCAGAGTGGTTGCCTTCTACATTGTCATCACTGGATGGATGGGGGGAGAGCAGTGCATGTTGTGAGCCTTGACCACAGCAAGGTGTTTGACGCTGTCTCCCACAATGTCCTTGTAAAGAAGCTTAGAAAGATGAGTGGGCAGTGAGGTGGGTTGAGAACTGGCTGACTGGCGGAGCTCAGAGGGTTGTGAGCAGAGGCGCAGTGTCTAGATGGAGGCTAAGAAGCCTGTGTTCCCCTAGGGTCTGAGCAGGTCTGGTCTGATTCAGTGTCTTTGTTGGTGACCTGAATGACAAGGCAGAGTCCACCCTCAGCAAGTTTGCTGATGTATGAAGCTGGGAGAAGTGACTGATGTGCCAGAAGGCTGTGCTGCCATTCAGTGGGACCTGAGCAGGCTGGAGGTTTGGATGGAAAGGAAAATTCAAAGAAATAAGTGTAGAGTCCTGCACCTGTGGAGGAATGACAACATGCATCAGTACAGGATAGGGGATGGCTTGCTGGAGAAGAGCTCTGCAGAGAAGGACCTGGGGATCCTGATGAATAACAGGTTGGCCATGAGCCAGCAGTGTGCTCCTGTGGCCAAGAAGGGCAATTATATTCTGGGGCACATAAAAAAAGAGCGTGGTCAGCAGGGTGAGGAAGGTGATCTTCCTTCTCTGCTCTGCCCTGGTGAGGCCACATCTGGAATACTGTGTTCAGTTCTTGTTTCCCCAGTTCAAAGAAGACAGGGATCTTGTAGAGAGAGTCCAGCACAGGGTGACAAAGATGATAAAAGATCTGGAACATCTCCCATGTGAGGAAAGGCTGAGAGATCTGCAACTGTTCAGCCTGGAGAAGAAAACGCTGAGAGGGGATCTGATCAATGCTCATAAATATCTAAAGTGTAGGAGGCAATTCGACAAGACCAGACTCCTTTTCAGTGGTGTGTAGTTATAGGACAAGGAGTAATGGCCCAAAACTGGAACATATGAAGTTCCACATGAATATGAGTAAGAAATTACTTACAGTAAGGGTGATGAAGCACTGGAACAGGCTGCCCGGGGAGGTTGTGGAATCTCTTTCTATGGAGATGTTCAGGACCATCTGGACACCTACCTGCGAGACCTGCAGTAAGGAACCTGCTTTAGCAGGGAGGTTGAGCTTGATGACCTCTAAGCTTCCTTCTTCTATTCTGAGGTCGTATGAAGAAGTTCATATGGCTTTTACAGAGTTATCCAGCTTCCCCTGGTTGCACAGAACTCGCTTCTTCATTTTTATTTTTTTTATCCAGAGACTGGTAGAATGATGTTACAGAATGAGTAGCCAGTAAGCTACTGAGTTCTTTTCTTTTATCTTAAATGGAAAATTGAATCCTCCTTCATCCCCTGGAGGCAGTTTATTGCTTTTTACATTCTGTTGAGAAAAAGGAAGACCAGCAGTGAATTTTCATTCCGGGCATTCTGCAACAGTAGATGGAAGCCTGGGTTGTAAGTAATTTCTTATCTTTATAAAAATGTGTAATATAATTTTGAGGTAAAGTTAGAATGAGGTGTGAGCAGTGATTGTTCCTATTGGAGGAGAAATGCTGTAATGTTCTCTAGGTAAACTGAATTTAATTGACTACATTTTGATCAAGACTTCTATTTCTTTAAACTGTTCTGGAGGAGTGGCAAAATATTCCCAGAAATTTGTAGGCCAGTGTAATATTGCTTTAAATTATCCAGCATTAAATGTGAAATAATGTCTTTTTCAGCACTCAGTAGCACTACTACTTTTTTCCAACCTTATTTTTCATGTGTGATTACGGAGATCACTTTGTTCCTTTCACCTCCTGCTAGGAATGTGTAGCTCTACTTTTTCCTATGTAGACTTCTACAACTGTGTATCTATTTGCTCTTGAAAGAGAAACATTTTTTCCAGTGTGCTGGTTGAAGTGACTGGGCTAGTGTGTATTAATTTAGAAAAACGTTACTTAGGTTAGCTAGCAGATACTTGCTTTGAGCTCTGGGCTTTTCAGTCTAGGTGATAAGTTTGTGCAACAATTGTAGACTGCTTTTTTATCATCACAGGGGAATGATGCTGTAACAATGTCAAAATGCCCACATACTCAGCTCTCTGTTGAACATAGGGATAAGTCTCAACCTTCTGGCAGCTGTTGAAGCCTCTCAGCAGAATGTACTTTGTTGGAAGAGTGTATGTCATAATTTCCTTCATCTTCATTGTTTAGGGAAGTATCAGTAACGTCTTAAACAAAAAGGTTTTGTATTAAAACTTATTTATGTTTAGTACGTACTTTCTACTTGCTTGAGTGCATTTATACTGCGTGAAACTGTCATGAAACAAAGGTGAATCACTGCAAACAACTCATTTTGTACCTGTTCTAGAACTGCTTTTTGTGAAAAATCAATTTCAGAATGTGAACCGTTAGCCACCGAATTCTCAAAAATAATATTATTGATAACAAAAGAGAGCTTCATTGAAGACAAAAGCAAATCGAGAGCATGAAAGTCTCACGGTGTAAGAAACCGCAGAAATGGATCAAAGATTTGACAGGAAGTTTAATGTGTACATAAGTAGAGGCTGACAGGAACATGCTGTGTGTGTCAAAGGTTCCAGTGATGGAAAACTGAAACATAGCGCTCGCTGACCACAGCGTGAGCCGTGACACACACTGTAAATAACCCAAAGATGTATGACTGCATTAAGCAGTGGTGTATTAACAGCAGTAAATCCAGAACAGCCGAAATGCTCGGCGTATCAGACTTGCCCTGATGAATATTTGAATCAGACTAGTAAGAGTATTGCAGATCTTTCAAACTGGAGTTCTTGAAATCCCATCAGAGCTTGCTTTTCCCTTTCAGAGTCGCGTATGTGGACGCTGGGCTCACCACAATCAAGCTGAAGGCTGAGGACTCTCGTGGTCGACAGCATCTGGTCACTCTGAAGTTAAATGCAAAGGTGAATTTATATGGGGGAAAATACTTCAAGATTTCCATGAAAAAGATGGATTTTCTAATTTGTAAGGATTTCAGAGAGTTGGTCTGATAGCATGTCTGTTGTGCAAAATAATCTGGTTTTTGGTGGTTGGCTTTTTAGAAATTGTTTTGTAAAATGCAGAATTTTCAGACTTGAACTTCAATGAAAATTCCTAATATGTTATTGTTGTCTGAAGGTCTTACAAGAGGCTGCACGTCACGTGAGAAACACTTTGTGATGCTGCAATTAATAATGCTATTTTAGAGACTTTCATACATTATCACTCAGTCCAGAGACTAAACATATAAGAGCAATTGGAGGATGTTATGTAGCTTCTGTGGCAAGTCTTACTGTTTGAGCTGTCAAGATTTATGACAGACTGACTGCAGAATTGACATTTTTAAGCATTTAACAAGCAAAACAACAACAAAAAACAAACCGTGGCATGTATGGAAGCAGCAAAGTTTTAATTCTTCCTAACACATAGAACTGAACTCAAACTGTAATACTTCTTTGTAGAATTTCTTGTTTTAAGACATGAATCTCCTACCAGAATCTATGAAGATCTGGGCTATGTGATGGCAATTGTGTGGTCATTGCTGCTACCTTCAGAAAATCAGCTTTGGGGTAAAATACGATTTGGAAACTATTGGTGGTCCATCATCTGAAATAATAAACTTGAAGGAATAAGAACTGGACACTGTATGTCAAACTAAATTTCATCATCAGAAACTTCCTGTATTCTTTAAGAAATAGAAATGCAGCAGTTTTTTAGTTTTACATAAGACAAATTATTACCTTACAGGACACAACAGAGAACTGCCAGGGAATGCTGGTTATCAACATAGGTTTTCAGAAACTAATAAAAGTGCTCTAAATATATATGCATGTGTTTATGCACGCAGTAATGAACAAATAATTAATTTGCTAGTCACTTGGATGTTAAATACACTCATGGGGGGGGGGGAAAAAAAAAAGGTAAAATTGTGGGCTATTTAGTGTGCAAGAACCTGGCTGTATTGGCATTGTTTATAAGGGAGTTGCTATCCATGTACTTAGTATGGCATTAGAAATTAAATGCATGCAGCCTGTTGCCCCTAAGCTATTTCTTCAGCTTATGGAGATTGAAGTAAAGCACTTTTAACTGTAAAGCTCAAGCACCTGATAAAACCAGTCAAACAGTGTTACACTTCTGCATTGGCTGGTTGTGTTTAACTTATCGCTGTACCATGGTGGGAATCAAGCTCACCCATTTTCTGTCCTTCTAAAAACTTGTGCTTCATAGTAACAAAATGTGTGTGGTTGAGGCTCCTAATAGCAGAAGAAAGCACCTTCTATCAACTAAAGATGCGGTGTAATAAAAAGACTAGATTATCTAAATTGTCTGCTGTGAAAAGTAATCATCAAATTTTTCTTTTCAAGTGATTTTTGTGATGAAAGGATCAATTGTTTGTCCTTTTGAAACTGTCTGGCATTTAAACTTGCCAGAGGAGAGAATTTATATGTGAAATGTTGCTGACACAAGGGTTTGATTTTCCTTTATATACATATCTCATGCGTTTGAGAAGACTGTGCTTTTTAAGAGATTTCTTTTGGTAGCATGCTTTAATTCAATTATGCTTATTTTTGTTATGCTATTTCTTTGACTGTGGTTAGTTTGAGAGTTAAACCTCTCCCCTGAGCACACGTTGCTGGCAGTGGTTGCTTCAGCCTTGTCCTTGCAGATGCCGTGCACTGAGATGAGTTGATAAGCACCCCGACAATGATTTCGGGATGGACAACTTCTACAAGTGGTTTAGAAAATCATTCTTCATGAAGTTATAATGTGTATTCAAATAATCCTCTGAATGTGCCTACCATCCCTAATGGCTTGGATGTACTTGGAGGACTTTTCAGTTTGTCAAAGGTTTTCACTTATCCTTGGCTCAGTGTTCTTTGTATTAGGAATTGCTCTTTTATAAACGGTTACTCCCTATAATCTGCATTTATAAAGTACGTGGGAAACGTGGGGCAATCAAATTCAGTCTGGAAGGATGGAGAACATCATGTCATCACTGTGTGTGCGATCCAGTGCTACGCAGCGTCAACTTGTGTAAATTATTGGCACTGTCCTCATAACAGGATGCATTGTTTTATGCTCAGGTTACATTTTGTGAAATAGTTTTCAGTTCAGTTTGCCTAAAAATGCCTGATGCAGAAAATTTCTTCCACTTGCAATGTAATAAACGAGCTAGAAGGTTTCTGAAAGCCAAATCTGTGTCTTTGCAAGGTATAAAACCAAATACATCAGGTTTTATTTTTCAGGTTTCATGTTGTATTACATGAGGAACTCATACATTTTAGTTCTTGGAAGTGGGTTGGGTGCTTGCCATTTCAGAACTCTAATAGCTACTGCAATAATTTGCATGCCGTGTAGTAAACAAGATGCTTTGACAGTAATTAAGTGAATGATTTGGCGAGGGTTATTGAAAATGCTTTTTCTAGATAACATCAGCTGCATGCTCAAAATACAGTAAATAAATCTTTGCTCTAGCAATTGCTTAAATTCTTCTGAAAAGTAGGATTTCTACCATACCAATCTGACTGTGTGTATGGTGCTGCTGATACACTGTGGGATAGTGCTGTAAAATACTGTCTCCTGCAGAATCATCGTGTTACTTTATACAGGATTTCACCCTGCAAGGTTGAAAAGCATTAAAGAGATAAGGTAATTTATTTTTTTGAATAATGTTTGTAGGATCTGTTTGCAACCACTTGTTCAAAGTCAACATACAAAAGAATGCATAAAGTGAATTTACTTACCAAGAAAATAAGCACCTAATTGGTTAATGCTGCTGATATTTAACTAGGGCAGTCCTAAAATGAATCCCATGCAGAAACTGATCTGTTTGTTTTAAGCAAAGTTTTTTACACTGAAAACAAGTTTATTTTTATGCAAGCATTAAAGCATTTCATGAAAAATAACACGAACGCTACAGTAAAAGAAACTGTGACAGCTTTTGTGGGTACACTTCCCTAAACTGTAACTGCCTCCTGTCCAAATCAGTTGTTTGTTCTCTTGCTCTCTTGCTGTTTTTTAGCTTGTCTGCCTCCAGTTTGGTAAAATAGCAAATCACACAGTGCTCAAGTTGTAGGAGTCGTCTTCAGAAAGCAGATATCTGACAGAAGCTACAAGTGAAGGCATACTAAAAAGTGCAAGTTTAAACAGATTTCTGTGAAATGCATGAATCCACCTCATTATTAACATCAAGGCAGGGCAGAATGGATGCTCTAGGAAAGATATACTTTTTTTTTTTTTGCTCTTTTATAAAGAACAATTGGGAACCAGTTCCTGTAGAATGACACTGTATATGATGTAAGGGCACTTCAAAAAAGAAATTACATTGATTGCTGGATGTCTGGTAGATGATGATATCTGTGTGTGGAGGTTTATTATGAGTGCAGGATGGTTATGGGAAGCAGCATAGTCAAGCTTCATGTGTCTTTAATTCAGGGAGGAAGTTGGGACCTTTTTGTATGTCTGCTCAAGTAAGGTTTTCTGAAATGTTTTCTGGCGTTAGCAGTTTGTGCAATAGCAACACAACTTCTGCAATACCTCCTGGTGTGTCACTGCCTGGATTGGGAATGTTGCATAGGACGGAAGGAGGCAACTTCTCAGGTGAATAAAGTTTTGGATAGGTGTTTATTTGTAACAAAGTGGGCTTTTTTCTTTCCCTGCTTTATTTTTCAGAGGATACATTTTTCTCCACAGATCTCAGAGTGGCAAGCCGAGCTGCAGTATTTTTACAAGTGTAATGAATGATCAGTGATTGGGGTTAGCCTTTTTTATTAAAAAACAGTCCATTTTTTAAACATATTTTTTCTTCCTAATTGATACCTTTTAATCTGGGGGTCAGGTGGAGAGAATAGCTGTTAGTTTTAACTTTGTCTTCATGATTGCTTTGATTAAGTTTCAAAACAAAAAGCACTTCCAATCTCAGCAAATATTCTGGTTCAGTTGACAATTAATCCTTGCCTCGGGAAGTTTTTCTGTTTTGTTGGTTTTGTTTCAAACTTTTGTATCCACTACAGGCAATTGAGGAGCAAGGGGGACGCTTCTGTTCAGCACATGCCATCAAGTTGCCAAGAAATATTTCCTCTTTTTCTTTCTGTGATCTGTTTTTGAAGTTCTTTTTTAATTTGCCTACGTGAAGACTGAACAGAGGAAGCTATGATCCTCCTGCCTCCTTCAAAGCCCGATACACAAGAACACTTTACGTGTAGGTTTCTTCTTTAAAAGAGAATTAACATTTATAAGTATTTCTGAAAATGCCTTCCATATTTTTCCTTTGGGAGCCAAGTTCTCAAGATGCATCAAGTGCTTATACTTCATTATCGAATTTGGCAGCTGCGTAGCAGTCTGACTTTAATCATATTTAAAAAAAAAACACAAAACAACTACCAAAACCAGAACTGTATGTATTTTTTCTCTCCCTCAGTATCCTACTGAGCCACCAGACTGCATTGTGGATTTTCCTGTTCAGTTTGCCATTTCCTGGATGCCACAGGTAAACCCACGTAGCTGTTATTGTTCTCCTTTATTTTCGATAACTGAGAAGTATGAAGGTAGGTGGTAATGATGCACTGGACTTCATTTTTAACTCAGTGTTAAAACTGTGTGCTTTTTACTTACAGGCCTGCTTCTGTGAATGTAAAATTGAACTTTGTATTCCTTATGAGGTTGCTTTTAATGCATTTTTCATGTATGTATACTTTGTGTGTTGATTGCTTTGCACTCGTACTGCTTTTCTCTCAAGCTGTATGTACAGCTGGAACTTCAAGCCTTCAGAAGTATTAGGAAATGCTGTGCACAGTAAGCTGCTTATGCAGAGAAGCACCACCCAAAGGTGGCTGCTGTACCAAAAACTACAACAACCAACCAAAAAACCACAGTTCCCTCAGTTTGTTATCCTGAACGATTTCCACAACATAAGAAAACTTCATTTGTAACCGAAAGACCAGGAAAATACTCAAGAGAATTCAAATTTTGTAATTTAACAGTTGTCAATGTAAGCTGTTGTCTTTTAGTCTCCTGCTTTATTTCATGTCTCACTCTCCCTTAATGGAGTGTGCATCCTTGATTAAATGGATCTAGAAGTGACCACTTTAGAAGCAAGTTCATGTGAATTATCTCTAGGAAGTGGTTGAGATTTGATGTCATTTAATTCAGAAAAACAGATTTTGCTCAAGTGATGGATAGCATTTCATAATTCTAACTCCTGCAATGATTTCTGCCCATCAGTAAAGCTTATGTTGACACTACTAAGTTTGTGTGGGGGACGTGACCCAGTGATTGCATCAGAATGATTTTCAGATGAGATGCAGAGCTCGAGGTTCTGTGCATCACCTCAGATCCACTTTGGGAGCCTGAGGAAGTAACTTCAAGAATGAACCACTGCAAATAAAAGCTGTGTTTATTTTAGTTTTTGATTCCCTGGTGCAGTTTTGAACAATCTGGATAGGTGCTGTTTTTCTCCTTAAATTTTACTGATATGTGGCACTAATATGTTTTCCTGATATTACAGGCAGGATTTCAAGTGCTGTTTCTTACCTCTGGAGTTACCTACAGTTCTAATATCATTTTCTTAATTTTATGTCATTGCAGTGTATGTTACCTCAAATTAAAAGCATTTCAAATATCCTTGACAGGTGTTGCTGCTCCGAGTGTACTCTTAGTTACTACAAAGCTACCAGCTTTACGTTAGGTTTTGATGTGATGTACTTGAATAACACAACAAAAGCAACCTGCTTTGACCAGTTAAAAGATGTGAGCAAATATATTAATATGACTCTACAGGAAAGTAAAAAATATAATCTTAACAAATAAGACACTCAGTTAGAATTACCTCTGGGGTGGTTGGAAACACAAGCGATAGATGTATGTACGTCACTGAGGACTGTTCTGAAATCATAAGAGGCTGCTTTCAGCTGCAGGTAATCTGCTGTGCTGTGGAGGCAAATAGCAGCAGCCTGTGCTTTCTGATGGGAGAGGTGTGCAGTCTGCTGTCAAAGCTGATCTTCTGAGTGTGACTTCCGGGGAAAAAGAATGTTTGTCCTAAATGTTGTGTTCCTCCACTATTTAAATTTGTGCTTATTTTCAAAGTGCATTGAAACTCTTAAAGTGAGCATCTTGGTAGGGTAAGGGTTAAACTTAGATAAAGATGAAACAACAGCAGTAGCTGATTTTAGCAGGTTCTCAAGTGGTTAAAAATTTTGGTACCTAAAAGGAAAGAGAGCACGCTGCACTTATCTACCAGTAAAATATTATGAAGTTTTAATGGAACTTCAGTATTTCTTGGTCATCTTTGATGTAAAAACTGACAAGGCTTAACTGACAAATATGCAATCTTGCTGTTGTAATGTAAACTCTTGTGGAAGAAAATATAATGAGGTTTCTGCTAATTGATTTTGCTGAATTTTTTCCCCTTGCTGTTGCCTATTTGGGGTTCTTTTCAGTGCTCGTGGACTTTAAACTTGAGGGGTTGTTGGGTGGCTGGTTTGTTGGTTGTTTTTTTTTTTTTTTTATTTGGTATAATAATAGACATGGCTTTATGGCATCCATATTAAAAATGGGTAATTTTCCTTATGGTCCCTGTCTTCCTGCTGGGTTGATAATGTTTTGATGTATTTTTCTTTTGCTCTGATGAGAGGTCTGCTGCTGCTGCTCTGACATATTCATTTGGATGAATAATTATAACTTGCACAATGTCAAGCTGAAGATGGTAGGGTTTTGTGCGTCATGACAAGCCTAGTAGCCAGTGCAGGTGTCTCACAGCATGATCAGCAACAGCCAGTGCATTCTGGCTCAGAGGAGACATTTTAGAGTAGTAAGAAATCAGCACCAAGGGCAATGCTGCTGCTGCCGCTACTGTTCCCAGTGCCAAATAAATGCAGAGTGCTTCTCAATGACAAGTGCAAGAGCATCTACTTATTTCACTTATATTCTTTTTCTAAATTACCCAATAAATGTTCTGTCTACAGATTTCGGTATGAACTGTCAGCGTGGTTCTGCATTTCAGCACACTTGTATTCTGCTGCCCTCACATCAGGGTATTGTTTCTATACTGACCACTGCCCACCTGGTTTGCTACATGAAGGTCAGGAGAGTGGAAATTAATGACTAATGAGGTCGCGCAGCCAGCCAACGATGCAGTAATACAAAATTCAGAAAGTATGGTGATATGAATGAGATTATTTGCTCATTTTAATGGAAACACAGTAAAACATGGCATAATTTTGTTGTTTTTGTTTTTTGTTGTTGTTTTTTTAGCAAAGGAGCTTCACAGATCTGCTTTCTGTGTATCTATCAATACCAAAAACAGAAACGGCTGACGCTTTGTGAAGATGTAAAGAGTGTTGTGTGTGACTTTAGTTTGTGCTAAAGAGGAAGAAAATTGTTCAAGTTTGGTTTGTGTGAAATAAAGAGCAGCCCCAAGGAATCTAAAGAGTGGTAAATTACTGAGGTAATACAGGTGATCCACTGCCAGCCAGCAACTGCTCCTTTATTAAATGGTTCTTTATCTGGGAGTACACAGGAGGCAGGTGGCAGCATCCACAGCTCAGTCTACTTTACCTTTTCGGTTCAGAAGGCTTTGTGGTTCTTCTAATTTTACTGTATTTCTAAGGGTCAGCAAATGTTATGTTAGGAAGAATTAGGAAAAACCCCAGCATCAACAACAAAAGAACTCAACAGAACAAAAGAGAGAAACCCCACCAGGCTTTATTCTTGATTTTATAAATTTTAGTAAAATGCACTGTGTTTAATCTGAGCGTTCTCACTGCTGTTTGGTCAGTATTTAGTCCATCCAGGAGTTGGAAGAGGTGTTTGAGATCTGTCAGGAATGTTGTCATGTATCATGTAGCACTTCCTTCAAGTTTCTAGCTCCATAAATAAGAACCAGGAGTAGAGTGACTTGTTTCCTCCCTGTTCCTTCTTATTCATTTAATTGAAGTGACTGGGGAGGAAGTGTTTTGAGTTGGAATAACGAATTAGCATGAGGACTGGTGATGGGATGGAGATGAGAGAGCAGAGAGTAGAAATAGGATCAAATTTTGCAGAACTACTTGAGACTCTTCCTAGGTAGGAGACTATTTGTTAGGGTGAGGCTGGTCGGGGCAGAGGCAGGAAACTCAAAGCTTAGGAGTAACAGGAGCAGCAGTAGAATGTGTTCTTCTCCAGGTAGGTCCAGAATATCACTGGTATATCTGATAGGTCCAGATTTTCACTGACCAGAATAAGCGATTCATCTCCTGTCAGTGGCTGCAATGAATGGAGGATGCTGATATCACAAAAGCTAAAAATGGGGTCAGATCTCTAAGACTGATAGGGAGTTCTGTGGCAGTGACGTGAAGGTGATACGCCTCCATCTGTTGTCTTGTAAAATAACCCAGTCTCTAATACCTGTTCTCAGAAGTTCAGGTCACAGAATCACGTCCTTCTAAACCGGGAACCGTTCAGTCCTGAGGGCTGTGCAGCATGTGTGACATGAGCACCTCTCAGACAGAGGTGACTGACAGAGCCTGGGAGGACTGGTATGGTGAGGCTGGATATGTGCTTCATTGAGGGAGAGCTGGCTGTCATCACTAATTGTACTAATTGTACTAACTGTATCCTTTGCTTTCTGCACTCACAATCTGAACTATGAAAAACCTGAGAGATGCTGACTGGAGGAGAAGAAATAGCATGTGACCCAGGTAGAGAAGACTCTCACACCCTCTGGTACAACAAACTGCATCGAGGCTTCACAGCAGGATTTCTGAGCCTCTGTTAGCTGTGAATTAGCTTCCCGTTCTAGCCATAGGCTCAGTGGCCTCGGTACTTATAAATAATATGCAGGGTCTATTTTAAACATAAAATTATCTTTGTTTTGTTTTAAGCTGTTGTGAAAGATTCTTTATGTTTTTATACTGCATGTTTTGCCTGATGGGCACGGAAACCTAATAATTACAGAGGGTGGAGTGAAAGGTTTTGCTGGTGGTTTTTAGAGTCAGGTGGGCAGCCAGCAATGATTTTGTGAATGGTGTCTTGTTGTTTTTTCTTTTTTTCTTTTTTTTTTTTAAGAATATTTGACTTATTTCATTAAAATTCTAGTGTGCTTGTGAAGAGGTTACTGAGAAACACAGTTTGCACTTTGTGGTGCTGTTAGCAGCTATCTTGGTGTAGTACAGACAAAAAAAAGCACGATGGTCTTTTTGGTTATTGCCCAGCTCTTTTCTGAAGCCAGTTGGTTCATCAACTAAAAAGGAGTGCTACAGTTCTCATGGTTTGCATGACAAGCGTGTGATGGATTTAAATACCTATAGATGCACTTCTGTATATAGCCAGAGACAGCTGGCAGCATCAATGAAGCATGCAAATAAGATCAAATGAACGGTGCGTTTAAGAAAAGATTTAACTACCTTTTTAAGGAACACCATTGAAAAATTACAATTAGTATTAAAATTAATTGGATTTTAAAACTTATCTGTGGGTTATAATCCCTTGATGTTTCTTTTTTCTAGTGAAACCCTTTGAATTCCCAGAAGATAAAGATAAAAATGATTATTAGAGGATTTATCTGTATGTGATACAGAAAAATGTAAAAAATCAAAATGGAAAGCAACTGTTGCAAGTACCAGAAAATTATGCTATTAATTTAAGTGTCATCAGAGCACAAAAGATCACATTTCAGGACTGTGTGAAAATTATTAAAATACTGGAAATAATAGTACTTAAGATGAAGATATTATACTCTAAGATGTGGTTAAGTGACTGACACTATTATATCACTTCAGGTATTATAAAAGTAACAAAATGCTTTTAAAGATAATAAGCGTTACGTCTCGAGATTGGCAGTATTCACACTTTTCTGCTTAAGTGCTTTCCTCCTTTAATTTAATAACAGCAGGGAAAAACGTAGCGTTTTATTTCTAAGCTGCACTGTTTCTCTCTGGAATATGTGTGCTTAAAATATGAGAAATTGGTATATTAAAAAAACCCAACATTTTTTTCATCTCAGAAATACATATATATGATTTCTACTTTTTGTTCTGGTGAAAGAGCATAATTACTAAAAGATTAAAGGAGAGTGGTGCATGCAAGCTTCGTGTTATTTGTAGAAAAATACCTCTTTAGAGCATAGTATTTAATTTGCTTTTTCTTTTTCACACCCAGAACTTGTCTGGCTCCTGGGCCAAAGCGTGTCTGAAATGTGACCCTTGTCACATCTTCTTAATTTCCCATCTCTTTATTGTAGCTGAAGAAGCCTGTGTCAGTGTTCTGTCATTCCTTGTTTTCACTCGTGCATTTGATTTTTCAGTTGTGTTTTGTGTGAGTCATTTCCAGTACTCCCAAATCCCAGCCTGGCATGTCCACGTGAAGCCATGTGTGGAGTGCTTGCTGTTCTCCTCTGGGCTCTGTTCATGGCGCTCCAAGCTTCTCTGCTCATTCCATCTTATACCAGACTCAGGTTTACTTTGGATCAAAGCATGGATGGAGCATTACTCCTGCTTTCTATCGCATTCTTCACCTCTTTTTTGGCTCCCTGAATTCTTCTTTGTATTTTGCACCCTTTGGCATCTGCATTTTGAAAGCTGGACTCCTAAGTATTTCCTCTATTTTGAAAACTTCCTCTAGAAGAATTAATCTGTTTTGCTCAGCGATGTTTAAAAGACTTTTGCATTGCTGTTCTCTGTATTGTCCTGTATAATGACTGGGGTTTTTTTATTCTGCCTATTCCACTCTCAAATATTGAAATCCTTTGAGTGTAATCCTCTGAATATTGCATGGTTTCTCTTTCTCTTGCAGTATTTGCATGGTTTGAAACATCATGTTATGTCCCAGGTTTTATGCTGCTTAATTTTGGGACTGTTATAACATTGCTTAGCTACGTATCATAGCTTTTTTTTTTTTTTTAAATCTACCTTGTAGTTGTCACCAGTTTTCCAATCAGTTATGATGTATGCTTATCACAACGTGCTGGAAGTACCGAGAGTAGAGAAATTGTGCTGAAGACAGTTATCTACTTTATGTTGCTTCGAATAAAAAGTGTTGTTATATAAGGTCCAGCATTTTTTGCCTACCATACTCTAAGTGGAGGCATGCTAGATTTTAATGCTGCTTAAATGACAGCCGTTGTTTTTTAATATTCTGTATTGCCATGGGTAGAAACCACGTAAAATCTTTAAATTTCTTTTTTTCCCAGGACTCCTTAGTAACCATCCACAATCAGTTCCTGGCAGCACTGGAATCGCTGAAAGAGTTCTGGGACACCATGGATGAAATTGATGGGAAGACGTGGGTACTGGAGCCAGAAAATCCAGCCAGGGGTGCTACAGCAAGGAGGATCGCCATAGGTACACACAGACTGGAAGGAATGCATGAGTTTTAGAAGTAAACTCAGCATGCTTTTTTTCCTCTGCTTATCTAACCAGGTGGTGGCTTTTTCAGTCAGGAAAAAGAAGACTTAAAAACAGTAAAACACAACTCTTACTTTGTATTAAAGACAAACCTCCACTGAACGCTGCGCCTGTCTATGAAATTGTTAGCAGTTCTCTATGTTAAATACAAAATGTAAGTTTCATCTTCACGTTACTGCACGTAACTCTTAAGAACAAAGAGAACTGGCATGACAGCTCTAGAAAATCAGTGTTTGTAGAACAGAGCTTAGAAGAATCCCTGATCTCGTTCACAAATTCCAGTTTTTCGGTAGATTGTTGTTTTAGATTGTCCCTGTCTTGGTAGAATGAAAGGAGAATTAGTGCAGTCCAAAGGGGGAAAGAGAGGACAAAGAGGCAGGTGGAAAGGACAGAGAAAGGAGGAGAGGAAATTAGAGGCATACGATGTTAACAATCTGAGGAAGTTCCTTAATTCGTATGCTGACACGTGGCACTTCAAGGTCTTGGTGTATATAGAGAGTAAGGAGTCCTGTACTTGCAAAGGAGAAACTTAGCAAAGCCTTAGGTTAGGAATACAGGTGAAAATGTTATCTTTGAAAAGATTTCTGATTCTCGGCTTAAATCCAAAATGCCAATTGCGTATTGTAGAAATCTGAGAAGGTACAATGGACCAAAGCAGATCTAAGTTGTCCCTGAAAGCTGCGGAGTGGGGCAGGAATGCTGCTGGTGGTGGTGCTGAGGCAGCTCCTTCATTGGGGTGACGGGAGGAACAGGGGAGGACTGAGGTCAGCAGCTGGTTGGAGCGCAGTGGATCGGATAATACATTTGTGGTGTCAGGCTGGCTTTGTCTTGGCACCACCGTACTGATGAAGACCAATGAGAAGGAAGGGAAAGCCTCAAAAAGTTCAGGTCAGTGGAGGGCAGTGAAAGGCTTTGAGGCCTTTGTTTTCCGTCACAGACAATCTTCAGTTAAGGCTAGATTTCGATTTAATTCCTTCCAATTTATTCAAGAAGGTCAAGCCTAACATAGCTGTTAATTAGGAAAAAAAGAAGTTGGATTTCACTTGTTTGTCTGTTAGAGAATGTGCTGCAAGGTTTTTAACCTGGATCCAGAACATTTTTGAGCAAATCCTTTGGGGATCTTAGGGTATCACATAACGGGAAATATTTGCTGTTTGAAACTGAATGCTTTGTACCAATTTTCCAATTATCTGCAGCAATTAAAGGCAGTCTGAATTCATTAATTTATAACTGTTTTCTAAGTTAATGTTTCTGTTTTCAAGCAGTTGATTGCAAAGAAAAGCTCCACTTAAGTCTGACTTCCTTCCTGTAGGGAGCAATGTGTCTGTGAACGTAGAAGTGGATCCCAGGCATCCAAAGATGCTCCCCGAGTGTTACTTCCTTGGAGCAGATCATGGTAAGGCAGCAGACAGGCAACATTTGTTTCTCTTCTAGAATCTGCTCTCTGGTGAGCAGGCACCAGAGTAAGCTGTCAGGCTACTGGGAAAGCATGAAGTGGAGCCAGGAACAAGGCTGTGCGTGCAGGAGGGTTTGACACAGACACTGTTTTTTAACAGCATAAATCTGCAGCCTGATGTTTTGCTGAATGCCATTTTCTCCTAGTGCTTTCCTAGCACAGTTTATGTCCTGTTGATGATTATGCAGTCCTATTTATATTTTACTACGATTTTCTTTTTATAAATAAGTTAATAATCTACTGCATGTGTCCTAGTGGTGTTTGGAAGTATTTAAGTCTTGCACTCTGCTTCGCACAGCTTTTTTTGCCAACTTCTTAAGGGAAATAAATTCATCAGTCTGGTGTTTTAAATGCCAGCACGATCAGTTTCTAAAACTGAGGGCAATCCTTGAGTTAGTTGCCTTAATTCATTAAAGAGAATACCACCCAAAAAATGATCACCAACAAATATGACTCGCCCTTTATTGCTGAAATAGAAGGGGTAGAATCGGGCAAGTGACAGAAGGGGATCATAAGGATATATAACCATGTGTGTGTATTGTTTGCAGTGGTTAACCCTTTGAGAACTAAGCTGAACAACAACATGCACTTGTGGTAAGCATCCTTAGTGATACAGGTGTGAAAATAGAATGGCATTTGCTGTTCTTAACATTTACTTTTTTCTCCCTTTTTCCCGCTTGCAGGGATCCAGAAATTAGTTTACTACAAAACTTGAAAGACCTCTTAGAAATTGATTTTCCATCTCGTGCCGTGTTAGAAAAAAGTGTAAGTTGTTTTTTGTTAATGACCAGTCGTTATTTCTGAGTAAGTAAAATCTAAACGGTCATTTTATAACTGCCAGGGAAAGTCAGAGACTTAGAGTGGTAATTGGAGTAATATATTGTCATAAGGACTTCTGAACTTCAAGCAACAATTGTCAGTACTTGTTAACCTTTGATTTGGGGTGCACGCTTTCCTGTGGCCTTCATAGCAGCAGGACAATTAATAATAGGTTTCACTATTAAAAGGGAAAGAGGAAGTTCCAGAGGAGCTAATGAGATGTGGAAAATCCAAACATTCTGTTATGGATGTTGATGACTTACGTTCTAATTAGGTAGAGCTGCTTACAGGGGACAAGAGGCCATCCAAATACGGGTGCATTTCAAATAAACTCAGAATTAATTTTTGACAATGCTGTAACACTGGATTACCAGCTTGGCTTTCACTCGTGAAATCTGTAAATTAATATCTGGCTGCAAGGTCTTGTTTCTGATATCTCAATGTAACGACAAATCATTGTGTTTGAAAAAGAAACCGTGGGGCCCGAGTATGAAAATGTTTGTCAAACCAGCTGTAATGCAGTGAGAGGATAAAATGCAACCCAGCAGTCCTGTACATCCGGCAACTGCTCTCACTGTTAATACCATACAGTAAAAAATGGATGTCGAAGGCAGCGATGTTTAGTGATTCCAAATAAGGTGCAAAACGAAAAACATAGATGGAAATGTTTGTCTGTCTCAGCCCTTCTTCCTTTCGAACCTCAACTGGGGTGCTTTCAGGATTTCACCAAGGACTGTGGAATCTGCTATGCCTACCGCCTCAACGGCGCCGTGCCAGATCAAGTGTGCGATGAGCCCCGATGCGGACAGCCTTTTCATCAGGCTTGCCTGTATGAGGTACAGGAATTAATGGGACTTGGCTTCTTAACTGACTGGCAAGTGGTAGAAAATAAGCATTGCACACCTACAGCTTCAAATGAAGCAAATTCCTATACGGGTTGCTAGAAAAGCCACTGTGATTGGAACAGCCTGGTGTAAAACAAGCTCAGTGTGGAAGTGAACCTTCCTCACTGTGTGGTTGTGCAGACTGACCTGACCTGCACTGTGTCAGGTGCATCCCAGATGAACTAAGCTTGCAAAACTCTGTTAAGGGATGTGTTTTAAGTAAATGAAAATCTACGTTTGTTTCATGTTGTTTGTGTTGCAGTGGCTACAAGGTCTTCCTTCCAGCAGACAGAGCTTTAATGTCATCTTTGGTGAATGCCCATATTGTAACAAGGTAAGGAAGTATGATGGAAATGGAGCTGGAACAAAGTGGTGTGGTTACTTTGTTACAGGTTTTTGCCTTTATCTCAGTCTTCTGTTGAACAGCAGTTGCAGCTTTTCTCTCCCCTTTACCCAGCAGGACAAAGAGAGGAAAAGTTTGCATTTAATGCATCAGTATTTACCTATGCTGGTTGAGAAAATCCTTAAAGATGTTGTTATAACTCGTATGTCAACATACTGGTGTTGAAAATAACTAAATACCATGCTGCAATCTTTCATGGTTTTTTTTTTAAATTTGTCTGTAACAAAGAACTCATTTCTGAAAAATCCCCACATTCGTAGTACAGAACAACCCCAGCAGTACTCGAGTACATACACAACTTCTTGGTGCAGGCTGTGAAGGTATAAAAGAACCTGCTCTTAAAGGGTGTGCATTTACAGCTTTATTTTACAAAATTATTTTCTCAGCCCCTGGCATTGAAATCTTCCGTGAAGAAACCTTGAGAAAAGCACCACGAGGGGAACGTCGGCGCACTTGCACTGAAGGCAATGAAACAGTGGCATCAAAGAAAATACAAGGAAAGTAATATCAGAAACAAAAGTACAAGTATAGCTATACTGTAGTGGTATCTTTCTTCAGTAAATGCGAGCCTAAATATTGTGGGTACGGAAAGACCAGGTTCTTGCAAAGACAGTGGATGAGCTGTAGTTAAGAGCTGCTCTAGTTTCCTTTTGGACTCAAAGAATGATGCCTGGGGGTTGAGTGGTGGTAATTCTCTTCCTGTGTCTTTCTGCAGGGGACAAAAAACAACCTTAGTATTTACATGAGTGAGATTCAAAGCACTGAAAATAAAAATCAAGCCAACAAGCAGAGAAAGATAACATCCGGGTATTTAAGCTATCCAAGAGAAAGCAACGCAATTCTGACCAAATCTTAACTCTTGAATTTGCAGCTGTGTATTAAGTGCATAAGTACAGGTTTGATTAAACACCCTTGAAAGATATTGTCTATTCCTGAGCAGCTGCAATTCTTGTCTATCTTTAACTCTCTTTGCCAAATGGTAAAATATTTAAGTCTTTACAGTATTCTTGTGAATAAAGCCTGGAAACCTAGGAAATAATCTGCAGTTTGATGTGTCGCTTCAACTTGTGTAACTTTCTGCCTTCTGGTTCATCACAGGCAGCACAAATGTGCATCATGTTCCTCTTTCTAGCTGGACAGGGCAGCTGGTTCTTTAGGTCTCCAGCAGCAATGAAGCATACTCTTCATCTCTGCTCTGACTCCCCCAAACACTATCCTTTTGTTCATGCAAACTGTATTTTTCATCACCCCTTAGAAAAATCTACATACATTCACAATAAGTAGTTTTAGTAGAAATCTTGTCTTTGTTATCAGCTGCCTTATTCCTCGCAATGACAGACGTGTCTGTTTTTACCTTTAAAGAAAAGCTGGGCCCCATCTGATAGAAAGGTAACTATGATGTCCAACAGAAAGGTAGCTCCTTTTCATTCTCTATTTCATCACTTCCATATTCTTTTCTAGGCGTTATTTCTGCCTTCCACCCTCTCTGTTTGCCACATGTCCTGTCTCTCACAACCGTCCTACTCTTTTTGTCCTCCTCTCACTCCAGCGCTCCCCTTGTGACACAGAACTGTTTCTCCTTTTTGTTTGTATCTAACAGCTCCTAGCAGTATCACACAAAGCAGACCCACTTCTTTCTTCTCCCTTTGTCATTGTCCCAGCCATATGATGTTTTTCTGAACGTACTTCTCTTAGAAGATAAACCATGGAGACAGAACTTCTCCTCCGAGCTCCGTACTCAGGCCTTTAACTGCATCATCTCTGCCTATGAACAGCAGCAGCACGCCGGCTCTCTGAGTGCTGCAGTTGGAGTGGGGTGCCTGCAGTTAGCTGCTCCAGGCAGCTGCCTGACTGAAGGGTTTGGAATTGCTCTCTGGAGAACCCTTGACAGACAGACTCTCATCACTCTGGTTCCTGAATTAGCCACGGCTTTCCCCCTCCCCCAGCCTGGTACATGAACCATCCTTCGGAAGTTTCGTAACCTCACTGCTATGAAACGCAGCTTTTTGCACCAACCTCCTCAATTACAGGGAAGAAATTGAAAGGAAGTCTGCAATACAAAACTAAGGCCATCCTGCCTTTTTTCCCCCATTTCCAGTTCCTCCCTTGAATATTCAAGTTGTTATCTGACATGCGTTTTAACTTTAGTGCTCAAAGTTCAGTCAGAGCTACAAAACCATTCCATATAGATGCAGCACTATTATACTGCAACAGTGGCTTCTCTTTTAGAGTGGTTACATCAAAACAAACACACAATCCAAATATCAGACTGGTGCTCAGTTCCAGTTATTTAAAATGTACTTCTCCTTTCTTTCCTCAAAGAGGAGGGAAAGCAAATCTCCCATGTGAAGATCCACAGTCCGGTTGTGTAGGTGAGCAGGGGATGCTATGAGGATACCAGTGTTTTCTTTTACCCCCTCCCCATGCCATCATGGAAAACTGAGTGTGTCTCCTTCCATATCTGCTGCTTTTTTAACAAGTGAAAGTTGCTGCCTTCATACAAAACACACAGGAGGAACAGAGATTGGGTGGGCACTACTTGTTTTTATTTGCTAGTATTTTTTAACTTGTCCATCTGAGGATTATGAAGTCGCACCCCATGTCTTCAGAGAAAAAAGTTTCACTGTGTCAGAAATCCAGAGACCCTCCAGAGTCTGACTGCTTTGCTACCAGCCAAGAGGTCTCCAAACATTGTTCTGCTCACCACTTTCCTGCCTGATGCTCTCAGGTACTGCTGTGCTTTTTGTGCTTCTCTCTCCTAGCTTGTACTGGAGTCTCCAGGCAGTGATCAGCAGACTGCCAGAAGCAAATAATTTTGGATTAATAATAAAGCTGCATTTTTGTGCTTATTCAAAAGTGTCCTCATGTTGTTCTTCTATGTGAAGGAGATAAACAGGGCTGAATTTGTTCAAGGACAGAGGATATTTACTAAGTTGGAGTGTTAGTAAAACCTCGATCTGCTTTCTTCTTTCTGTAGAAACGGATGGTTGAAGAGTAAGACAGAACACACTCATTCAACCCTTTTATGTAGTAGTTACCAGTAAGTGAGATTAATTAGTTAGTTTCTCAAATCCTCAGATTAAGGAGTTGGAATTTAAGAACTCTATAAAGAGTGCTGTTAGCTTCTACCAAAAAACACCAATTAGGGCCACAGGGAGATGACTGTTTTTTTCTCAGCGCTCGTATCTGTTGGGGAGCACGCTGGGACACTGCTTTACTACCAAACTATATACAACAAATGTTAATTTGGAGCTGTATGAAACCATATGCAAAGCTTCCAGTGATTGTGTTAGGTTTGAGTTTTTGTACTGCTGTTAGTTTTTCTGCCACTCATTTTTTGCAAAGCTCATCCTTCTTTCCCTGCGTGCCGTGCCTGCTCTAAGTTAACAGCAAAATCCTCACCTTCTGTGGGTCAGTCTCCTGCATGGTGCTGTTCAGTGTCATTGGCTTCTCTTCAGCATGGCATTTCCTGTGCGTTATCTGAGCCTGGGGCCTGCTTGGGTACTTAGAGGCATCCTCTTTCACCTTCTGCCTCTGTCTCACTGGGTTTGCTGAAGGCTTTGGTAAGTGAACCTGTTGGCGTACAGTAATTCTGAATGCTGAAGAAAAACCAGCAGGCTTCCCAATTAGAGGTGCTATTCCAGAACTGTACCTACCAGGTTTGAGACAGGCAGCGTGCCTACTTTGCTCTTCTTACCTGGGCACAACACACAAAGCTGCAAGCTCCCCATAATGCAAGCCAATAAGCGCCTGCCCACTTCTGGTGCTCATGACTCAGGGCTTGACTTTTTTCAAGCGCTCTTCTTCTCTTGGCCCTTCCCAAAAGGTGACCAGCAAGCTAAGAGAGTGACCTCCCAAGAGACACCATGCATTACTGCAGTGCCAAATCCTCACCTGCTGAGGCTCTGTTTGGGGAAGCGTCCGGCACAAGTTACTTGGCTTCTCTTCATCTTGGAGCAGTCTGCCTCTTGCTCGTGTCCTGGCCTTGTTTTGACAGATGTTTTCCTCACTTTCCATCTTTTCTTGCTTCTGTTGAGCTGGTTTTGGCATAGGCTTTGGTAAGCGAGCCTGTTGATGAACAGTCAGCAGTTTTGTATAGGAAAAAATGCCTCAGTACTTTAAAAAGAAAAAAAATTAGCTTCAGTGTTGAGAAAACAAGAATGAGAGTAAGCTTTAGTCCTTCCAAATAATTCTTTTCAGCAGTTTAATTACCAATAAACGCCATTTTCAAGCAGTATAAAGTTAGAGCTATGCCGTATTTGGGAAGTATGCTACAAACTATACCTGAGTTACACCTTTCAAGACATTTATTGATCACCTTTATTGGGAATAAGGCCACTGAGTCACTGTCTGTATCATTAAGTAGAGCTGAGAGCATTTCATACCGGTGCAGTGAGTGAGATGGACAACTGAAAGATAGGAACCCTTCCAACTCAGGTAATGGAGTTTAAAAAGTGAAGTCTTTTAGAAGAATGTCGCTGGGATGATGTGGTGAATAGCTGCACTCAGTTAATACAAGTTTTTCCTAGTGCTAATCTAAGCACTACGTATCAAGTGATGTCTGTTTTTGGCTTTTTTAACTTGGAAGACAAACGTAGCCAAAACACAGGCTGTATGCCACATGCCTTTGGTACTTCTGGCACCCTAATAACTCTGTAACTGCAATGTTTGCATATGGTCCTATGTGCAGCAGCTGTGTCTCAATATAGAAGCTAGAAAAGAAGTAATATGCTTCTTTTGCATGCTGCAAACTAAATACATGTAGGAGATAGGAATTGCACAAGCTAAACACTGTTGGAAGTGCCAGTAAGCACTTCCTATAGTTTAATCCAGAACACCTTTAAAGAACAGATCTACAGATCTGAGAAAATCATGGCTTAGAAACATAAAGGTGTATTTGTCCTGAATAACTGAAGCCAGTTTCAAGCACTCTACCTCAGGACATAATGCTGTCAATAGCCTTGAGAAACCTCATTATGTAAGCAAGGCTCAGTGCCACCCTGACACTTCTCTCAGTTTGGAGGTCCAAGCTGTTTTCTCTGCATCACAGCACCACAGTGCATCATGCAGGAGCTGCTAATCCTGCTGACAGCTACGTCTGCTGCCTTCACAACGAACACGTACTTCAAACCAAATCACGTTCAATACAGGACTTACAGCACTCAGGGAAATAGCTGTTGCATGCCTGAAAATTACAATATTCCGTACCAACGACATGACAAGTTGGTATTAATGAAATCATTTTCCAACATGAAGCTTACAACATCTAGCAAGTCGTCAGCTGGCCTTACATACTTCATTTGGCCCTAATTCTAGCATTTTCAGTAGAGGTGAGAAAGCTGAGAATATTTATCCAGTGCCAAAAACTGTTGTAAACAAATTTGAGAATTAACCTAATTAATGTTATATCATCTGTTCAATGTGCAACTGAAACAAAGAACGTGGGTGTAACCACTGTTACACTTTTAGTGTTATCTCAAGACTGAATTAATGTGCAATACAGGGAGCTGAACCTTAAAATTCAAATTCTACAGGAATTCCTTTTCACATCGTCTTCGAGGGCAGCTCTTGTTACAAGACCTCCTCGGTGGCAGCGCTGGGTGTTTACTGGCCTTCAGATGGGAATTAACCCAAGTTCACCTCTTTCCTGTACAAAACTACTGCAGGTAGATGCAGACAGAGCAGCTGGATTCAGTTTCCGCTTCTCAGAAGTGAGGAATCAGACCTGTTTGTAGTGGCTCCCTCTATCTTTAGATTGCGTGTTTAATGGGAGAAGCAGATGGAGAAAAAAGGGAAGGTAAGAAGAGAACGCAGAGGTGTGAATGGAGGGAGTCAGAGTGAGCATGAGGAGCTGCAAAGGGGAAGTGCGTGCCTGCCTGCCACCGTGCTGCTGGGGCTCCAGCACCAAAGTGCAGCGGGCCCTCAGCCTGAACACTGCATTGTCTAAGAACAGCAGTAAAACCAGAGAAGGTTCCGTTGCCTGCCCTCTCTACTCGTAATCACGTGGCCCTGAAGCATTCGCAAACAGCAGGTGCTGCAGTGACTTCCACAGTCCAGAGGTTTTACCTTTACACCGCATTGCGCAAGTCTTAGGCCAGGCAACGAGACACAGATCGGCTGTTTGGTGTCCTGCTCTAAGAAATGTAAGATGTGAGAACCAGAGACCCAACCCGATCAGCTGGAGATTAGTTAAGCGAGCTGCCAGGTAGCTGTGAAGTTCAGAGAATGCTACAGACTGGAGGAGAAAAGTGGACTCGAGTTAGTGAGGACAATGCAGTCACAGTCAGCAAGGAAAACTCTGTCACTGACACAGCTTTTGGTTTTGTTAAAAGTGCTAAAACCAGAAAAGTCAATAAAACTGCTAAAATAAGTATGTGTAATTACCAGGAGCAAAACTCAGTGCCTTTTTATTAAACATGAACTTTCGTCCTGCCTTCCGTAATACGTAAATAGTGCTGACAATTGGTTTGTGAGGCACTAGCTACAATAAAATGTAATTGTATCATGAGAGAAAGGTGACAATCAGGAGATCATGAAAAAATTACATATTCTCACTGGTGGTTAATTAGCCATGCAAAACCCCCTCAAACAGATATTCTCTTCTATTAGGAATGATTACTATGCAGGCCTACAGATGTCAATACCACAGTCATTCAAATACTTCTTTCCCAACTAATTGAAGGTTGTAAAGCTCTGGTGCCAAGGTTTTGCTTCCAAAGAGCTAATTTATGACTAGAAGGATATTTTATGTCTTCAGTTGCAGCAGCTACAAAACTCAGCAAATCAGAACCATCTGTGCACTGATACTTGAATCACCATTCATCTAGCAGCCTATCAGTCACATTAGTTTGCATCCTGCATTCTTGGCTCACGTACGCTTGTGCTGGTCCAAAGTTCACCAGAAATATTAAAAATGAATGGTACCCTGACCCTGCCTTATTGCACACACATCACAGGCAGAAACAGGGCTTCTGCATACGGGTAGTTTCAAGGCAGAGGTATGCTGGGAGTGACATTTCACAGCACGTCCAGTAAGACCGCTAATTACCTCAATTTCCACTTATTAAAACAAGGTTTTATTAACCGTATCGTTTCAGACTTACCAGTACAAAAGGCAAATGTAACACTATTAGCTGCCAGTTTCTCAACTCCGTGTCAGTGCATCACTGCATACCAATAACAGTTAAATCCCAGAATAATGCCTCCTCCACATTAGTGGCTGCAGGAGTATAAAGGCAAATGACAAAGAGCAGTTGGAAAGCAAGAAAATGAATTAAATGCTTTCACTGATAAAGGTAGCTATGCTTTTAATCTGGAAAGAAGGAAAAACCTGGCATCCAGGCTTGTCTTCAAGATGTTGGTGAACAAAGTCCTCGACTTCCCCATTACCCTGAAAGTAAATCGTTCTCTGCAGACCTACTGCTTTGAAGTGAGAGGCTGTAGGTCAAAAGGACTCATGACAGTTCTTCCTCCTTCAGGGTTGACATCCCACTTTTTAGCAAAGCCAGGGGAAACAGGAATTAACAAACACGGTGTATTTAAGGCTAAAAGAACTGCTGTGTCAGTCCCATTTTGCCATCTTAAACTACTTCCTCTTTTACAAAATAAAAGGCAACAATTAAGCAGGAGATTTCAGAAAGAATTCCCAAACTCTCTTACTTACTTTTGATGCTTTAGCAGCACAGTGATTTTGTGCGCATCCTGCAGTGGAAAATTCCAGAGGGCCATCATAGGGAATTCCGCTCCTCTTCAGTCCATCCAGCAAGATTTTCTTAAGCTCTTGGTACTTTGGCTTTTCATCGTAAGCTAAGCCATAAACACACACCAAAAACTTGGATAGTTCACCTGTAGAATGTATTTCAAATGCAAATTTCACTTGGTGTAGCCTTAGATCTTCAGAAAGCGTTTCATTCCAAAGTGGGTGCCAACCCAATAGTGCCAAACAAGATGACAAAATTTCAGCTGAAGACAACGCTCAAAACAGAGCTGACAGTATCTTGTCTTTTGGAGATGAGGGAGGAAAAGATAGACTTGGATAAACAAGCTCACCCTTAAGCACTGCGTCTTGTTCTGCAGATGCAGTAATTTGTGGTACTGTCAGTTAGCCAAGTACAATAATTAATCAACTCTACTGACAAACCTTGGATACTTCTCCATAGAACAGAAGTATTTTATATTTGAAGGACCATAACATGACTTTAAATATTAACTACTCTCAACAGTTCTATTTTAATCTATACAGATATCCTTAGAATGCTGAGGTGAATGACAAAATTTTGTTTTCTAATACTTTGACAAACGTTGACTTTGGGATTACACATAATACAGTCTAACAGCAGCATTATTTTGCAGTCACTTTCGAGTGGTTCTAAAAACAAGAAAACCAGTGAACGGGCAAAAATAATGCTCTTAGGGCAAACAGACAGGGGTGGATCAAACTTTTCTTTCAGTTGACAGCCCAAGTGCATCCTAAAACTGAAGTGCCACACCAGACATTAGCAGCCAGTGAAATCCCAGAAGCAAAAACTTACTGAATCTGTACGTAGATTGTGAATGCACTTTATGTAACATGTCCTGCATCCCAATCATTCAGATGCAGATATTATGAAAATAAAGGAATAAATAAAAACAGAAGCTGCCTTTCGTAGGAAGCGCGACGTTTTCCCTGCGCTACCTCTGTATTTCAGCGAAGGAGGTAAACGACAGGATGAACTGTGCGTTCATTTGCTTTTCAAACCCCAAATGCTGACCTATAAACCTCCTGTGGCAGTTATCCTATTCCTAAGATAGTCACTCCTTCCTAAACAGCCTGGATTGCCTATGGTGAAATCCCTTGCGCCGCTGTATCATGCATCACAGATGAGATTCAGATTTTTGTTCTACCGCTCGCGGGGGTTCAAACTTTAGCCCTCCACACCTGCATTGCCCACTTAGTGCTTGCTCATGGCACAAGGCACAAAAGCAGCATCAGAAGTTCCTGCAATAAAAGCACTAGGTATTCCTAATCGCCGAGTATCATGAAGCATCAGGAGCTGTGCACTGCAGAGTGACCAGCATCCAACAGCATCCAGAAACTAGTTTCTGCCCTTGCAGTAAACAAGCCTTCAAGATAAAAATGCTTTAAGCTTAAGCTTGTACATGAAGGGCATGATCCAATTCCACTGAAGTCAGAAATATTAGTTAAATTAAATTACACCCTAAATTAATGAGTCTGACATATAATCTCACAATGAGTATTATGTAACTACCCTGTTATCAGCTAAACACAGATATTGCAGGGTGAATTATTATGCTGGACAGATACGCATTCAGAGAGGTTCCACCAGTGCCAAATTTTACACAAATAGGATAAAGGGAAACTGCCCTGAATGCATCCATTCCTGAATTACATATATTTTGTACTATTTGCTATCTTAATACCCTATTTAATACAGAGCATATCTCTGAGCACTGTAGAGATTTCTTTATTAATCCCCTGTCCCTCAGCTTTTACTGCACATTACCACCACCAAACCTGTGCTCCTACATCTGGCAGGAGAAAGAGCCAAACCTTATAAAAAGCTGCTGCCAATGGAAACCTCCCCCCTGATCCGTTCCACGTGCAGCAAAGAAGTCGCAGCCATCTTCTCAGAACATAACTCAGCAAGTAAAGAGGGAGACAGAACAGCGAGGGAAGTTTAGGGAAGACAAGGAGGATGTGGACGGGATATCAGAGAAGCATGGGGACAAAAAAGCAAGGGAGGAATGAGAGCCAGGTCTGATTTCTAGACGTGATGCAGTTGTGAGGCATGTCAGGAAAGTTCAGGTGGCACTGACTCGGATATTCTTGGTTTGTCCTAAGACTGGTAACTGCATGGACTCAGGCCTCACGACTGCATCTGCCTGAAGGTGTCAACGTTTGGCAATTAACCTGAATATTTTAAATTGAAGAGTTGCCTACATTTGTATCATTTTTCTTTTTCTCCTGCTTCCTCAAATAAAGTAAGACATCTTTTCTGTAACAGACCGAAGAGCTACGGGGTACACACTGTGAGCACACTTACTACAGCTGCTTCCAGAAGAATTCCATTCCATCACCGAATGTGGGAGCTCATCCATAAGTCTGAAACAACATGAGAGCACAACAATTTAATGCAGTTTTGGAGCAGGTGATTCTTCATTTGGGATTTTAGGTAGACAGCAAGTCTCAATTCCAAAGGGAGTGGACCTCCAGGATAGCTTATGATTCACAGCACTGCTTTTAAAACAAGATCTCCACTTTCCAGCTGTATTTTTAACTCTTTGGAGGCTGCTGATTTCAGCAGGACCAGGTTTACAGCTAAGACTGTACTTCTAAGCTTTTCTTTGCAGGTATTTTAAGCTTTCTAGAAAGAGAAAAAAAATCCTTTGAACTCGTTCTGATTTCAGCTTAGTGATTACTATTTGTGTTTGGAAAATTTGCAGCCCTTATTTGCCTTTAACATCAGATTCTTTCTGCCATACAGCTCACAGACAGCTGCGTGACTTCTGTCAAAATTACAAGCAGGCGTGGCAGAGATGACAGGGAGGGAGGTGGAGCAGCACTGAGTCCTGTGCAGGTAAAAAATAAAAAAAGGGCAAGGGCACAGATGTACTTTCTGTCTATCCAACACCAGAAGTAACCAAGAGAACCAGAGTTCAGAATAAATCATACCTTCGAATGGGGTGACGCATCACCAGCTCTCATCTCTGAGCAGGCAGGAAACCCCATTGCTTGGCACTTGCAGGAGCCTGCAGATGCACCAGCTCCCCTTTCCTGAGTGAACTTTAGCTGTGTTGTTAACGCTGTCAAAGGATCCTTTGTTTTGTTTAAAGGAGTCACAAAGGTCCACCAACCAGGAATGAGATGTGTTCTCAAATGGGTAGAATTGGGGTGCTTAGAAAATATCCTCCAATGCCACAATCTAGTTACCCAGTCACTTAGAATCAGTTTGCTATGCAGCAGCTTCACTGAGACCCTAGCTTCAGGCAAGTTCTGCCAGCAGGAGAAATGTGATGACCAAGCGTGCCTTGCTCTAAGCCCTCAGCTTTGTGGTAATAGGGATACCTTGAAGTTCAGGCTTGTGAAACTATCTATCCCTGCAAAGCTACCTATGTGGGCTTTGCATTCTGTAACAGAAAGTGGAGGAGGGTTATTTAACATATAGCTACTTGCAATGCACATCTCCATGCTACAGTCACCTCATTTCTCTAGTTAATAAATACAGGTAATCTGTAATGTTCAAAAAATAATGCAGTAAATAAAAGAGTATTTTAATCCCTTTTTTTTTTATTCTTCTTAATACTTCTTTCTCCTGACCGTCCTCCAAAACAGGATATAAGGCCAGATGGACCCCTGGTCTCACCAGGAGCTGTTCTCTAATATCAAAAGGTACGACTGTTTTGGAGGAACGAAACATTTAAATGTGTTTATTTTCCTTCAGTTTAACTTAAATTCCGATTCAGACAGGGACCCCACTCCAATTATAGCACGAAGATTTCTGAGCTCAAGTATACCAGCAGCCCTTAGCGAAGCCCACAGGTTTGGCACAGTGACCTCACTGACCCAGCATCTCTGGTAGAAGAGGCTTAAGAACCTGGAAGGGAAGGCTGATACCATCCACGAACAACAGAACTGAGTCCTGCTCTGACTCCTGCTTCTCAGTTGCATCCCACCTTGCAGGCCTGGCCCTTTTTCCTCACAGCAAGAGACTGGTGCGCCCAGAAGCGATCTGCCTGGGCTGCTAATGTACTCAGTGACAGATATGCTACTGAGTGCACACACGTATGCTGATGACTGTTTCTGGCCTTTGAAAATAGTTCAGGCACTGAAAAACAAGGTACGTTAAAGGGGAACATTACTTGATAGCAAGGTGCTTAATTAATTAGGCTGGGAGGATATCGCTGCTAATCTAATCTATCATTTTCTGTGCGTTTCCTCCTAAGCATCTGTTTGCTTGGCATCCTGAAAATCCTAGCAGTTGCAAGGGAAGAATTAAGGGTTAATCGCAAGGGAAGAATTAGCGAAGCAACTTGATTGATTAAATTGATTTAACATTGAATTGTGTAAGCGTTACCTTGCAGGGGGTTGTGTAATGATCAGAGGTTCTAAAGGAGAAATATTAAACATAACATACGATGTCAACATTTACAGATGCAATCTGTATTATCCACAGTCTGCAGGCTAACCTTTTTCTCTGCTGAGAGCCGATGCCACACTGAATTTGCAGATTGATTTCTGTGGATCAGCTATCCCCATTGTGTACCTCTGTTGTGACTTGCCCTACTTAAAAGTTTTCTGCCTCCTCCAATTGTGATGTTACATTTATGGATAAATGCTCGTCTGTACAGCCTTCTGCAGGCAACGCTGTACCACATGCAATTAACTCTCTAAAGTCCCAACTGTGAAAACAGTCAAAGGAAAACACTAATACACTGTTGCTTTAGTAAGCTCTAATGAGTCATGCCGGGAAAAAGAAAAGATTTTACACAAGTTACTTAGTATGCTGCTATTTAAACGTACCAGCAGTAGGCTTGTATAAATTTAAAAACCTACATCAAACGGCTAAAAAAATAGGTATCAAATGGAAAGTTAAATACCTGGAATGCAAATGTGAAAGACAACTTCCAAGAGACTTTTGTACCATCGTCTCTACAAAGCCCCCACGAACCATAGTGGAAATCTTTAGCATCCTGAGGCACGTGCTCGTGCACAAGTGTTTGCTTTGGAAGGAGTACTGAAAAAATACATAGCAGACAAAACGACCAGACTGTGCAGCTGAGTTTATGGCATCTCCACAGTCACACATCCATAACAATTAGGGAAAGTTCACGTCATTAACTGCTTCTAGCATCTCTCTATTAAGGAAAATCGGTCTTGCTTTCTTGTAAGGTGATTCCCTACAGGACGTGTGGCTGTCCTTGCAGACTGACTTTGCTAAGTGATAAGGATGTTGACGTGTGTATGTGCGTATTGTTTTGTTTTTACTTTGTCTTTGCAGCCTGGACAGCTACGGGGTCCTTCAGGTTGTGCTCCCACGGCAGTTTCCCACATAACCATTGCAGCATGCAGTAGCCAAGGATTTCAAGGTCACCTCGTCTGGACGGGGCTAAAACAGAATGTGGGGGGGGGGGGAGAAAAAAAGGTGAAGGAGAAAAAAGATAAAGAATAAGAACCTCTTCTTAGAAATAGAGAAGACTTTGAGCGAAGTACTGTAGATGAAATATGAAAAAGCCAAATGGGCAAAGTGTTTTGTTTGTTCAGCTGCATTAGACCTAAAACACCCAGGCTTTTGGCCACAGTCCACAGACAGGCAGTGACTTGTTACTGCTGAAGTAAGGGTCACTTTCCTCACCTCCTCCAACTTCATCCTTCCTCAGTCTGGCCTGTCACATGGACTTGATCCCCATGGCCTCTGACATGATCCAGACAGCCCATAACCGAGTACCAACACTTTCTCAAAGAGCCAAGCAGTAAAACAAAGAAATAAATGTCTGCTGCTAAATTGCTAACACATGTTGCAGGAAGTCCATGGGGTCCACATTGGTCATGCAGGGACCCTGTGAGCGCAGACTAAACACTGATGGCCTTTCCTGTTCTCCTACAGAGCTACGGGTGCTCGGAAGATATGGCAAAACTGCCATCTAGTGTACATTTGCACACCCAAGTGGTCTGCAAGTGCCATCAACAGTTCGTGTAGAGGAGAGCCATGGCTCAGGCTAACACACTACTTGCTGCTTATCATGTCCTGTGTAAATTTCCCACCACTGTTTCCACAAAGGAAATTATTTCAGGAAGAATTTACTCTCATCCTGCACAACCCAAACGGATCTACTAACTACAGAATGTAAATACAGTAGATATAATTCAGTCCAAAACTAAACCTGTCCCCAGGTATCTCCCATGCAAAAAACCAGGTAACTGAAGGTAATCAATTGATTGACTTTTCCGAGGGGAAATTGCAGCATAACCCATTTGCTGTTGCTTATTGCTAGCCAAAGAAAACTAAGTTCAAGAAAACTGAACAAGCAGGAATTGTTGCTCTATGTATTTGTACACATTTACAGCCTATAGTTTGCCAAGACAAGACAACGTGGAACCTGCAAAACCTGTTAATCAAGATTAAAGACAGATGCAGAAGTTCAATTTATGCTTTTCCAAAATGAGTTTGAACTTAGCACGAATGAAAGAAGATTTCGGATTTGTTTGATGCATCTTGTCTGGAGTACAGAGTGGAAGTTGAGCACGGTGCTGCTAATCCTGTTGTAAACAGATGTCATATTTTATGGGCCTTCATTAAATTCCAGAAAGTCACTCTGCAAACTTATCTTTTAATTTAAAAAGTCATCTGCTAAAAGCTACGATGCCAACACATCATAACTGTTTCTTGTTACCGTGCTCACATTATTGTAAAAGCAGAAGATAACTTCTTATGTGTTCTCTATCTTAACTGCTATTAGACTATGGGTTATTAAAGGCTCTTCAATCTAACACAACACTACGCTGTCCCTCGGGGGTCGTTTATTTTCTACACTAAATTCAACAGTGTCCTAATGCAAGACTTGGCTCTCGTATTAAAATAAAAACACAATCTCTACCACTTGCTGTTCTGTAGTGATTTCTTCTGCCATAAATCTCCTGTTAACCGTGGAACAATTCCATTCATACACATGTGTTCACAACTCCTTTTTCCATTATAGCAATTCCAGATTATAACCATATAAACCTTCCCATTGCAGATCCTCTAGTCTTCACACAGCGCTTCTCTGGCCCCTGCTTGTGTAACACAGGCGACATAAAGTGGCCTTTAGTGAAAAAAAACGTCAGAATTACAACAGGACACTTTTTCCACATGAGGAACTAATTGATACCAATCTGTAAACAACGCTAAGTCAGTGACATTTCAGGAGCTAACCTAAGATTAGTGGTCTTCTGACTAAACGCTCCCTGGTGAACGTAGCTTGCTGTGCTCAGCTACCTGCTGCTCACACTTGGATCTTTCAGCCTTTCCCAGACTGGCACTACAGCAAAGCCAGCACGGACAGGAGATGGGCGCAGGGAAGACCTTCATGCATTCCTAAAGCCACAGCAGACAGCTGGAAAGGAAAACAGGCCCACGTAACTGAGCCGCACATCACTAGAGGTAGAAGGGGAAATGTTTGACAGGGAGATGGTAAACCCCCACATCACTTTATCTCCCAGGTCACTGCAAGTGTTACTGCTAAAAGACTTCTACATGTGTTTTTCATAGAGCCACGTGAAAATGTCAACATGTGACTACTTGCCTGGTCAGCTAGTTCTTTCTCTCTGCTCCCTTCTCAGCTCAGCACCAGAGATGCTAACTTCCTCAAATTTGACATAGTTTTGATCCCAGTAAAAAACATATTCAAGTAACTAATCTGAAATGAGTTATGATGATCTACGATCAATGGGATAATTAGATTTTCACCCAAATAAAGCACTAATAAATAAATATTAACTATAAGCTTACTTGAAAAGTAAATTTGCTACCGAACTGGGGATTAAACAAATTCTTGACAAACATCAGCCCAGAAGTCAATCCAGCTTCATTTTAAATGTGATTGCCAGGCAGAAACACAACAATTCTGCTTGATAAGTTGTCACTGTTGCAGATGTATATATTCAAAGCAATACTTACATTGAATTCTCTTATTTTTCTGTAGACTACAAATTCATAATTCTTTCTCCTTTCTGAATAGATATTTGATTTCTTTTTCTTCTATTAACCAGGATTTTCTCTTACTATTTTAGTCTCATGTGAAATGCTATCTAATGAGAATGTGTTGGCAGTATTTTATTTCACCGTATTTTTATAGTTTAGCTTTTTTATTTGAAGATTTAAGGCCCGATTCTGTCCTCACTTCTGCCAAATAAATCAGGACTAACTCCACTGAAGTTAGTGAATTAACAGCCATGTCAGTGAAATCAGAGTCAGGCCACAAGAAGTTTTATATGCACTACAAACATATACTCAACTTGCAGCCATAGGGTTGAACAATAACTCAGAATAAAGTAACTGAAGCAATTCACCCTGAGAAGGAAATATACCATGCATCTTTGTATACTGGATTTGGCAGCTGAGCCCTAATATAAATTCAGATATCTATTTCAAAATAGAACATACATGATACCACACTGAGCTCTCGATGCCACACTACTTCTGAGAAACTCATCTTCAAACCATGTGAAAACAGGAGTTTTTCTCTATGGCCCTTATTCAGCTAACTTTCTCAGGCCTTTGGTAAGAACGCGGGAGGCTAATGAGCAATAAATGAAATGTTTTTCTATTATTTTTAATTAGCACTGTTGCATTACAATTTTGCCACTAGCTTTTCTTTAAATTGGAAGCTTTTCATAACAAAGATCATTTTAGCTGCTCATCCTGTGTCTACGTGAACTGGAACCTCCCATTCTCATTGGCATCACAGCCATATTAAATCCCAAACAAATATAACTCATACCACAGCCATTAATCCCAAAGCCCATAAAGAAAAGGAGAGTTAACACGACTATGGAGAAATATTATTATGGTAGAAATGTATCATTACTGTATTTTAATAAATGAAATAAAAGTGGGGTTTTTTTGTTTTGTTCTGTTTTTTAAGTTGAGCGAAAAATCAAACGGATGGCTACAGGAAACAGGATAGGTAAACACAGCTAAGCCAAAAAGTGAAATGAATCGCAGTGCTTGCAGGTCATCTACACAGAGTTAGCCAGCCTCGGGCAGGACAGCTGCCAGCAGGGGCCGGGGCAGTCTCTGCTTCCCACGTGCCTGGTTCTGCACAGTTAATTTGGTGCTTTGCAGAAACAGTCGCTGATAATTACCACAAAGCAAAACAGATCCAGTGCAAACACTGTGTTGCTACAATTGGAACCTCCTCCAGATGACTCAACCTGGGCAATGGCAATAAGCAACTCATCCTATGCCAGCTCTGGTCTCCAAACTCGAATCCCACGGCTATGCAGTTGTAGGGCTGAGAGGCACAGAATGCAGGCAGGGCAGGGACTCCCAGCACTCAGCTCACCACAGGTGGGTGAAGTGGCAACATCAGCCCCAGCGCTGAGGGCTCACATCCTCCTAAAGGCACGGCCACAGCTGGCCAGCTGCCTCCACAAGCCACTGGATGCAACCTCTGCACAGAGGCCACATCACTCACCTCAGGAGCCACAAAAGCAGCGACACTGCTGTTCTGTCCTGCCATGCCTGAGTGCACTGACAGCTAGCAGGTCCTGCGGGCCAGATATTCCCAAACTGTGATCCTCGTAGACAGGGAGGGAATACAAACCAGGATTGGCGAGATGGGATGTGCTGAAGTGTCCTGATTTGGTGGGGGGGGGAAATTTAAGTAACAGAAAGGTAGGGGGACTGGATTGCAAATATGTCTGCAGCAGAAGAGGGAGCAGAAGATAAAGCAAGGGAAGTTCACAATGAGCTCTGAGTGGGAGATAAAACGGTGGTGGCAAGAGATACAGGTGCCAGGTTGGAAGTGAAAGGTCCTGGATTGCAGCAAGCAGAACACATGGAGACAAGAAGCTTTACTCCTCTGTAAAAATAAATTAAAAAACCACATAGACAAAGGGCTGACAAGCAGTTGTGAGAGTCACTAGCTGTTTAAATTGCTGGTGTAAAGCATGAGAAACCAAAATTAAAGAAAACCTCTAATTCCAAGCCACACTCATCAGCTGTGCTGGAAAATGGTGATGTTCAACATCTTCTTTTTGCCACTTCTGACTGTCCTGGCAGGACAGAATAAGCTCACGGAGGTGGTTTTAAAAACCTATTCAATCTTCCTTCTTCTCCTTCTAAAGCCTGACTCTGCCTGTGCTTACCGTGACCTTCTGCTCCCTCTTCTACTGTGGACACATTTCCAATCCAATATTCAGAAACTAAAACATCATTTTATTTATTTCACACTGCAAAGTTCCACCCATTTTTTATCAGTTATATTTTCTTTTCATTCTTAGATTTACAGTCTGTCCTGCACAGTCTTTGGGAGGCACGCACCAAAGTGCAGCAAATCAATAATTCATGTTACTGACAAAAAATGCAGTCCCTCTGACTCCTTACTATACATGGACAGATGCCAGATAAACCTCTTGATCCAAAGCCATTTAGAGCTGAAGTTCTCTAGAAGCCATGCAGGCTCAGAAGGAATTTTTTTCCAGGCGCAGGTGTTTATATTCCTGCACATCCCTCCTCACAAAATGAACCCTGCAGATATTCAAGTCAACCCTTGCATGTAACAGAAAAGGGAAAATGGACAAGCACCAAGCTATGTTTTTAATATCAAACAGCAACAGCTCTGTCAGATCCACGGGGAAAACAAGAACAAGAACTGCAGAGCTGTCTCTACAATCAGCCCAACACTGCATGCCCTGTACAAACACTGCATGTGAACATCAGGATGGACTGTGAGGAGCCAGGCTGCAGTAACCCAGTGGGAAGGGTAAAAAGAGCTGGCTAAAACGTGGCACCAAGGGGAGCCCAGCACAGGACTAACAAAGCAGCCCTTACTGAAGAAAACTCCATCAGATGCTCTGCTTAGCCTTACTGCTGTCTTTCAGGTGCAGGGATCAGTCCTGCAGGGGTGCTGGTAGTCACTGCTCAAGGAGATGGCAAAACCACCATGCTACATTCGTTAAAAGGGAGAGTTACCTCGAAATCCACGGCAAAAAACACAAGCTGGAGGGAATTCAGCAGAGATGGTTCAGAGTCTTGCGCTCATCAACGACAGCAAATTAAAACTGGTCTTATGCACTCAATGCACAGGACTGGAGTGTTTAAAAAAAAAACTCAATATGTTAAGCACAGTATATCTCCAGAGAAATTAGGTATTGACTGCATGCCTCAGTGAGTAGAAAATCTACAAAAATCCATAAGAGGCATTGATCTAAATATTACATTTTAACACTATATAACAGTTTTTAAAATGTACATTGGGTACAGATATAATTCTCTTTAATTATCAATCAACAATGTAATACAGTTTATATAGAATGGTCATTAAAAATGAATACAATGCACACTCGGGTGCTATGCTAAAATTAACAGTGCAGTTGTGCAATATGGAATTTGCATCACGGTAAAAAGGAGGTTCATTTAACAAACCCAGTACAACAATGTCACGTCCAGCACTGCTTATTGGCCATACACCATTTGCAAAGAGATCCAGACACCAACTTCAGAGAGCTGGTCTTGCGGGTAGGATTCTGTGGCAAAAAGCCACAGCAGTGGCCCTGGATTGACTGAGGATGAACTCCAGGAAAAACACAGCTGCAGCCGTGGTGAATACCTGCAAACATCCAACAAGTTCAGAAACCTCAGAGGGCACAGGAGAGCCAGTCTGCAGGGCCAGAATCACAGAACCGCAGGGACTGGAGGGGACCTCTAGACATCATCAAGTCTAACCCTCTGCCAAAGCAGGCTCCCTAGACCAGGTTGCACAGGTTGGCGTCCACACAGTGGACACTGAACATCTGAACTGTGTAATTCTCCCAAAAACTAAAACCAGCATGAAGAGCCAAGAAACAAGCAGGGCAGCTCCTCCCTGCCATTCCCAGCTCACAAGAATTCCCCTCGTGTTCCAGCACGAAGCCACTAACAGCTCATGCTGGCACACGCTAAGTCAGCTTGCTTGAAGGTGCAATTCACATCTGCTCCTAGAATGGCACATCCAACTCCACCCTTACCAGAGGCTACCGGACAAACATGGACCAATAGTGCTGCTCAAAAGGGAAACTTTCTGGAGCTTGATGGACTGCATAACTTCCACCAGTGATGAGCTCCACAACAAGCCTGGGGAATAAATAGGCAAGCAGCTAGGTTAATCTCTCAATTCAGCTAGGGAAACACCAGTTTTGATTTAAATTAGTAGGAAGTGGATGCATTTGATTGACTTTATGCAAGAAGGGTATCAGCTTCAAGCATTGCCAAGAGGCACTTTTGAAAGCAACAAATTCATAATTTTGTTTTAAGTTTCAGCATGCAACTCGAATCACTGCATATATTCAGGTGGCTACTTTATGAATAAAACCAGAGCAAGTCAAAATGTTCTCATTTGCGTACCTCAATACAGCAACTGGTACTTATTTAGAGGGTTTAAGGTTTGAAAATACATTTATCAGAAAATGCCCTCTGGAAAGGATCTCATTTATATAAAATAACATTTTTAAAAATGAACTACATTCTGAGAGCACTCAGGTAAAACATTCCATGCTGAAAATTTGGGTAAGACCAGAACTAAGGCTGCCTATGCAGCTGTAATTTGGCAACAGTACTTTAAACACTTTTCGGAAGAGCACCCCCTCTCACTTGGTGCTTAAGACTGTGCTTGAGAGACTCAATCATATGTCAGGAATAAAGGAGATTGCTGAGAAAAGCCCTTTGCAAAGCTGTTGCAGGCCTTTAGCTTCTCAAAAGATCTCTGCAAATCTGAAGCTCACAACAAGATATGAGATGAGCGAAACCAGTCATTGTATTCTGCCATCTGGATCTGTGGAATCTTTGGCAGAAGTCGCTGCAGACGCCTGTTTTCCCCGGGATGCTGAGAGACCTGCTGCATACAAGAAACTGGTGACTCGACCTTAATGGATTCAGGCTGTTACAAAGTCAGAGCTGAGACATTCGGAATGAACAGTTTGGATTCTTTGCAGCACACCAGATATCATGTTCTGCAGGCTTTTCTAGCAGAAGCAACTGAAAAAACTGCAGACTTTCTGTTCACAGCTATTATGAAGTATAACTTTTATAAGTGCAAGATAGGAGAAGCAGCCCTTCAATCCACCTTTCTGAATATTCTGTTCTCTAGAGTCTGCCAGCTTTCACCAGTTCCAGCGTGGCTTCAGCTACTTGAGAAAGCAATCTAACCCACAAGCTTGCTAAACACAAGAACTTGCAGTTGAATGCAGACACGCTTTGCCACACATTTCCATTAAAATTCCCTTTTCCTTTCAAATAAAGGCAATTACCGATCTTCTAATCAAGCAATCAACGACAGGCACTGCTCTACCAGACCAGGTAGCTGCTACAACTACTCAACTGAGCCCACATACTCACAGTGCCCACATAAAATACAAGTACACAGACATACCTCTCAGGATCAGGAACAAGTCAGAGTCAAACCTCCAGAAAATGCACTGGGCAAGTTAGAAGAGGCTGAAACAGCTGGTCCTCTTCCTCACCAAATACTTTTTAGAAGGTGAAATTGTGCCATCCCTTTAGCGGCAAATACTTGACAGTCTTATTTCATTTTTCCTAATGACCAGAGTTAAACGATTGCAGGCTTTAACAGTGCCGGCAAATTATCAAGACCCTCTACATTACATGGTCAATGGCCCTTTTAATAGAAAAAGCAATAATACACAGTTGTTTGTGCCAACTAAAACTCGTTAGAAAGTATTAGTTTAAGGTAACAGTCCAGCAGCTATTAACGAGCAGGAATTTCAGCAGTTACCACTTGTGACGTTATGATTGGAGCAAAACTGACAACAGAAAACCATTCCTATTGTCTTAGAAGACCTTGGGAGTGCAAAGGGGGAGTAAAGGAAGAAAAGTTTAACAAACACGCTGTTTTGTAGCAAGAGTCAAAGTTTTTCAATAATCACCATTTTTTCACTAGCATAACATTAGAATTGACTTTTTGTCTTGCTGACATAGCAACTAAGAAAGTTGTGTTGCATTGACCATATTGATTGTGAACAACGCAGCCATCAGAGGGACTCTGCACCATATATTTTCAATATTGACCTCCCATTCCCTTTTCCATGGCTCTATGGGTCTGCTATTGGATTTGGACTGCGGTGTAATAAACAGCTAAGGTTTAATTAATGGTAAATGAATACAAGACATAGGTTATGACTTTAACTAATTAGGGAATTGTTGAATTAAGTCTGCCTTGGAATGCAAGGCAGTGCAATCAATATCCAATAAAAGGACTATGTATGTAATTTACCTGCAAATGTGTTTCCAATACCATCAAAGTGAGTTTAAATAAGTAAGATATATGAAAGGCTACTGGAAAAAGATCTCAAAAAGTTAACACTTTATGGCTTCAGAAAAGGTTTTTCTCCTTGCAGAAGGAGAAATATCTTGAAATACCCTCTTACAACACAGATGGTGACACTCAGCCACAGCTCTCCCTAAAGGACAGCGCAAACTTGAAACATTTTTCCTTGACAATGCAACATTAACAAACACTGCCTCTGTCTCTACAGAGTACAGCAATACAAACCAGCACTCCCAGCACGAACTAATTAAGCTTAATGGCGGGCTTTTCTTAGGGCGCCTCAGTCCCCCTTCGTGTACCACACGTGCAGCAGCCTTTCAGTTTAAACTGTGCTGCCCCCTCCCCACCAGCACTGAAGAAGTGCTTGCAGGTGCAAGAGGTCACCACACAAGGGTCTGATCAACCCCAAGCAATCCCCACGACCACTGGGATTGCATACATCGGCTCTCACAGCCTGATTACTCATTCTGTAATCACTTCCCTGAAATACAAAAAAGAAACCTACCTACTCCCTTGTGGGCATCTATGCTGGTAAACTCTATTGTCCCATTATGGCCCTTCCTAGGATTTTCCTGATACTGTTTGTGGTTCCCATTGGGACAATATCTGTAGGAAAGTCCATAATCTGCAAGATAAACCTGGAAGACATGAACAGACAAATGAATAATGCTTTTGTCCTTTGAAAGTATAACCTTTATAATTAAGTCTTAAGAAACTGATAGATTAAGGACAGCCTTAGATCTAAATTTTATTAAACCAAATGGTGCCTCAGGATAAAATATGTACAACTGGGGGCTATAACAGCTGCCCTCCCCATTTAAATCCTTCTACTGCTACAGTCTTTATCTTATACCGGAGTCGAGTAGAATTTCAGTCTTTTTATCTTGTTCCTAAGCTCTCTCCTTTCCAGGTGGGCATCTAGACCCCAGAAACTGCAATATGTCTTTTATGCATCCTCACGTTGCTTGTGGGACCCCTTTCTCCCCTTACTTACAACACTCCCCTGTTCAAACTCTCCATCAGCTGAGACTGCACAGCTTCATCACGTGCCAAGTGGCAGCAGCTCCCCCAGCACACTGAACTCCAGTGTCAGCAGGGGCCACAGCTGATGGAGTGCAGGGCACCTCACCACAGGCTCATCTTCTTGGATGCCACTGCCAGCAACTTAATGCTCTCAATGGTTATTTGAACAGAACGTGTACAATAAAACAAAGCAAAACAAAACAGTATCCCCCACATTCCAAAAGCCAACTTCGTAAATCATTCCTGAGTTCAAACTAATGTTTAAAAAGACACAAATTTCACTCTAAGTTACTCTGAAGTAAATCCATGGAGTGAAATCAATGCTCCTGTGCTGCCTGTCAAGACAGCCCCCAACACATCACCTGGTACCATTTCTCTCTAAGCACAGTGCATGGAGTACTGCATCCGTGTCACTTCTGCCACTTACACAGAGGACAAGTTCACTCCATGAAGTTCACATTAACACTTTCTACCCTCGAACAACGGAGGATTTAATACATGCATGTGGTCAATTACCACAACACAGCAAAAAAGCAGCTGGACCTTAATCACAACACATCCACCCCATAATATCCCAAAGATTATTTTCTTACTTTGTCATCTGCACATGCTCACCTGGCACTTTTCTCTCTCCCACTGACCTGTTGTCACATTAGAGAACTGCTTTTGTTTTTTTTTTAAAAAACAAGTATCTAAGGACAGTACTTTCACAAAAAATAAAATAGAACAAAGCTACAGGTTGCCATTATACTGCCAGTGGAACTAAACTGTGGTGCTGAAGCCGAATCATCTAGCAGCATTTTTGCTAAGTTATATTACAAAGAAAACCTTTTTCTTACTGTAACCTTAGTTTTGTTTCCTCTTCAGCTAAAAAAACCAGTCTAAAATAAACTCTTCCAGAACTCACTTTTAATTTAATTACATCACTTCTGGTAGAGGAAAAATAAACAAACAAAAAACCCTCAAGAAAACTTAGTGCATCATTTTGCAGCACATGCTGTTGAATTACTGATTCCTGTTTGTGCTCCAGGCAGCTTCAAATCCTGGGATGGCTGGTCTCTTGGTTTTAGTGTTTCTGCTGCAGGATCTGTGCTTATTTGGAGCGTGTAAGCTGGGATGCAGCACTGGCTTCCTGCAGGGTGATGGCTTTTAAGATTACCGATGATGTTTTTCACCTGACAGACTACACAAACTGTGATACGAGATTAAAGACTGTAGGCACGTTCAGAAAATCTGGGACGAGGCATAAACTTTGTTGGGTTCACTGATTTGATTTTCTCCTACGTTCATTCTCCTGACGCTCTGGTACCTAATTGAGCTCACAGTCCATATGAGAGAACTAATTCAAAGTTCCGTAATACCAAGTTTTGAGACTCTTCTGCATCCTTGGTGGGCTGGGAAGGAAAGCAGGCTAGAAGGTATATGCTTCCCCAGATAAGTGGAAGGTTTTGGATTTGGCTTGATTACAGACTGCCTATACAGCTGGACCAAGTACAGTAAGAAGAAATCCAAAGGAGACTTGAACCTTTAAAAAAAAAAAATCAGACTATATCTTAAATTCAAATGAGATTTTAGCCATTAGAAGAAAACAATCAAGGACAAGCATCTCCAACAGCTCTTTGCTTCTACTTGAGTTGGGACTGATTGACAACATGCTAGACCTTTTCAAGAGGCAGCCCAGCCTTGGACTTTCAGATATCTTAACAGCAGGACATCCATAAGGGCAGCCACCAGTTCTTACCAGTCAAACTTGAACTTTGTAAAGAAGTTGCTGCCTCTCATCCACAATAACCACATATTCTTTGATCTAGTATTAAGTATTGCTTGCAACATTTTAAGTTGCTTAAAATACCATCAGTATTACTATCAGTAAAGCAATTTTAAAGTTACAGCAGAAAAAAAAAAAACAACTAAGGAGTAGCTTTAGGTTACCCTAACTTGACTGAAAGAGGCAACACACAGAAACCCAGAAGCAATGATTTCTTAAGGCCACTCAGATGCAATGGTTGTGAGCACACCACTTAGCTCCAAAGTTGGCCACATCTGTCACTGCTCAGCCCATTTCTTCTGGCAGAGCCATTTACCATTTCTACAGCTCTCACACCACATCTTTTCCATAATCACAGAGCTGATGGCAGCTTCTCAACAGAAAGCCTTTCGGCCACCTGCAAACTGAGTCCCCTTAGCACCAGCAAGGCACTGTTACAACCTTGTCACAACTATTATTAGAATGTCTACATTATTTTAAATTACCATTAATTTCATTTCATCAATTCTCATTACAGCCCCTTCATCATTAAAAAGATATATAGTTCTTTATAGCTGCTTTTCACTTTTTGATAATGTACCACAGCACGCCCTTCTAACTTTGCTCAGAACATGGTGGGCAAGGATAGCTAAGTAATTCGTAGGGGTTTATTTGCTTTGTTTTATTATTTTAAAAAGAGTACAGGAAGGGGGAAAGGAAGATGAGTGTTACAGAATATTGAGAAATATTAAGTCAGTGTTAGCATGTTTTCCAAAAATCAAACATATTTAATCTGCAAACTACAGGGACAGCAAACAAACCAAGAATAAGAAAACGTGCAGAATAAGATATGTAAGGCACTGCAAGCAAGAAATATCAAGGATGATGAAGGTGCAAGTGCTGTAAGCCTACAACAGCTGGTTTAGCTGCATTATGCTATATATTCCTCCTTCCCCCACACTTCTTGTAACCCCGCTGATTCTTCTCAGGGTTCTTGTTTGCTTGTTTTTAAAATTGTAATTAAAATGTAAAGTGCTAAATAGCTACTAAGCATAAAATTCTTACAACTTGTACATGTTGTATCATATAGCTGCACTGGCTGGGGAAGCTGTAAGTGTGACACCTTGGATTCCTCGGGTATATTCTCTCTCCTGAAGCACATAGAACAGGAACTTCATCACTGAACAGATCACAACATAGAGATTTTCCCTTTCCAATTCATTTTCAGTGGTTCCACTAAGTTTATGTGAGGCACTGTAAATAATTAAGCAAACATCTACTAATATGAGGCAGGTTGCCAATAGAAATACAGCTGTCAGCTTCCTTTGGACAGTATACTACACAAGACAGGCTAAAATAGATCTTGGGATGAGAGCCCATTTGGGGATAATAAGTTTTAAGTACAGTGATTAGTACAGAAACAGCATATTTTACAAAACAAAAGCCAATAAAGGCAAAAAGAGGAATACATAAAGAAGAGAGGGAAATAAATCATCTGCAGGAGGGATTTCAGGCCACTTCCAACATGTTTCAGCATCAAATTTCTACATTCAGGGTCTAAAAGGCTCATCCACATGAAGAGGACAGTTTGCAGTGAGAGACAGGCTCATTGCTCATATATACAGAATGGAATGAGGCACCAGAAAAAAAATGAAGGACAAGATGGGATGCTAGAGACATGTACACTTAAGAAATTAGGAGTAACCGTATTGGCAAAGTAGTAACACTATTGTTAAAACATAAATGAAATGCTGCATCGCACAGTTTTAATGCTTTATTAAACGCCTGAATTTTGCCAAGCTGTAGCAGGTAAAGATGAAAGAACATATTGGCTGGAACTGCACTTATTACAAGCTTTATGCACAAGGAAGAAAAAGGCAAGCATCAAGTAGACTAAGAGGACTGAGACTATTAGAGGGAAATAACACCAAAGTAGAAAACCCAAAGAAAAGAACAGTTATATCACAAGTTTTGTAGAAGCTAAAGCATAAACAACTGTACGATAAAATGCTACTTGACTATATACATTCCTTCTGAACACTGAGAATAAGTGTCAACAGTTCCTCTATCTTTCTAAATATGTTTGAAATATATCTCACACTCAGAGAGCATCAAGCTCATCACAATGCTGAAATTGTGCTTAAACCAATCCTTGCTTTTACTTCACTTCTCAAACCCTACTGAAGAAACCAGCCCCCTTTGCAGACTCATTCGGCTACAGAAAGAATCAATGACATTTGATGAGATTTGCAGGCCAAATCTTAAGCCATTTTTGGGGTCCTAGTCTAGCTTCTTTGCTCTCCTTTTCTTCTGTAACAGTGTGCTTTTGTTCTTTCTTGGTTTGTTTGTTTGCTTTTGTTTGGTTTTTCTAGCCAAGAGGAGGAACAGGAACAAATCCTAGTGCTGGAATCAACTGAAGTCCAAGACATTGGCCATAACTACAAAAGTAGTTATGTTAAAAGTAGTTATTATAATTGAACCAATGTGAGCATGCATCTTAGCCAGCATCCATGTGTTAAAGACATTTTCTGTATGACATCTCTGTGTACCGTATCCTTCCTAAAACACACGAAGGAGAACAGAGAAGAATTTCATTTTTCTCCATTCACCTGCTCTTAAGCAAATCTGTCAAGCAGGTCTGAAGTGCAGAAGTCACAGTGATTCATCACACAATGAAAAACAACTTAAAGCTGGAATTATTTTCATGCATGTTTTCCCATATGACCAACGCATGCACTTTACGTCTTTGTACTTTTCTACTGAAAGCTGGTCTTAAAGTTAATATTCTCAAATGTTTCTTCATTCTCCTTTTTCATTTTCAATTCAGACCATTGATGATTTATGTCCAAATTTTATTCTTTAACTATGATGCCTATGAAAAAACTTAAAACCTAAGTCAAAATAGATGCAAATCCAATTTTAAAGCCTGCAGCTTAAAAATCCAAACACATGGCTTCTGGTACAGTCTTGAGAGTCTGCAACAGTGCAGCATGTCTGCCCATACACTGCATGGAAAAAAAATGCTACAAGAAACCTTTTGAAGAGAGAGTCCACCAAACCTCATTTCACTCATACAAACTCCACTGTTGAGTTTTTCTCTGGCACCCATTTCTCTCTTTGAACAGCATTACTGTTTAAATGAGTTCAGTGGATTCAAATTCCTCTTCTAGGGTCTACATCAGTAACACTTACTGTTTTATCATACAGTTACTACCCTTCAAGACAATTGTGACACTCCCCACAATACTGAGACAGTGCTTCACTTGTGTAATTTACAGGTCTGATCACTTCAAGTTTGCTTTCAGGCCTCTCTCAAATTCATGGGCTGTGTACTTCCCTCAGTACATCACTGCTGTTCTGTCAGTCATCGTGCTGGGTCCATGTTCAGAAACATATTGACTAGAGAATTGATCTTCTGACCTGTAACTCACTGAATGGCCTCGCTCCCTTTTACTGAATAGAACTGCAGCTAGCTGCTCTTTGAGGTCAGTTGATTTCTGATCTTCTAACCATATCAAAACATCATTTGGAGGTCATAGAGTGACAGGACCTTTACTTTATTTGTTTCTCTGTCTTGCCATGGAAGGTAAAGGATAGCAGTATAGATTTCACGTTATTTCAAGAAGGGACTGATATTTATTGGCAGCAGTGTAAGCCTACTAGGTTAATTTATAGACGAGACAGCATACGAGCAGAAAGTTTAACACAGAGAAATGATCTTTTCTGGAACTGCAGGACATCAGTGGCAACTTTGGACACAATAGTACACATCAACAACCACAAAATAACAAACAAATGCAAAGCTCAGTATAAACGCACACATGCTTTTTTGCGTAGAGATCTGCCTCTTCACCAAAACAATATAAAACAAATCTGAAAAGTATTTCTATATAGAGATTTATGGATCCCAGTTATAAACCAGAGCTTCTATAATTAAAATTACACTTCAATTTTCTTTTCTATTAAAATCCTAAATCCTAGGGAGTAATAACTCTCTAACATAGAATACATAGCAAAATCTTACCACATAAACTGTGAAGTCAGTCAGCTTTGTCATGCTACTCCCTGGAGCCAGAGCTCTCCCAGCTTATCTGCTCCTGAGTTTGATTCTGCCATTGGCTAGATGCTCCTGTTCCCTAAATGTGAAACTATCTTGACCACTCTAACTCTCAATTCCATTGCTTTTATAAACACAACAAGGCAATCTAGCCACCCAGCACTTTTACAGAGGAAGCAGATAGAGCAAAACATGCTCGCAGACATTTTGTGGTAATAATAGTGTTTGAGGAACTGAAGTGTGTGAGGTTGATGCAAGATCACCAAACTAAAATACAGCATCTCTGACAACCATCTGGAGGACATGGGACAGATTATTCCACACTGCTGTCACAATGAGTCAGTGGTGGGGCCTCACAGAGCTTCCAAAATACTGCTGCAATAAAACCATAAGATATTCATCAGCCCAGCAGCGTGTTGTAAAGATTGTCCAAACATCATGAACCTCACAATTAGGAACAGGATATCTGAACACAGGAAGAAGCAACTTTCATACCGAAATTACATCCGAATTACAGGTATGTGAACGTGGCCGAGAGGTAACAAATGCAATATCGTGTGTGCAAGTATACATGCACCATGCTGAATGCTCAAGTCTGTGTGAAGATACTGTCCAGTACTGAGCCTGCCTACATGTAGAGTGCCAAGAAAAACTAATGAAGTACAGAAGGCAGACAGCACAGCAAAGTAACCAGTCTCAGGGGAAGGTGCACTGAATTCCATGACATCTTCTAATGCTAAAACTTCAGCTGTAACGTTGCTAAGATTATTCCAACAAGCCACAGAGCATACACGTTTTAAGATACAGGCAAGCACATCTGGGAAATCTGGTTTTATTTGACCAAAATCTGCCCTAATTGAGACAAGTGCCCTGTGTAAGTTAAATATAGTAAATGTTACCTTAAAATACATCTCTAATGACCACCACATGTACACACACATCCACGTTACAATTTCAGGCTCTCTTAATGTGATTCCAAGTCCAGCATGGAGCAGTTATCATGATTTCAGTGAAACCTGTAAGCCCATGGCACTTGCAGAACTGTGGGGACCTTTGACTAGGGAGTTTAAGTTCAACCTCACTCTTATTTAGCAATATCTGAACAGCTCTGAGTTTTCTGAAGCAAATAGAAACACAATTCACATCTTACCAAGGCAAACAAGTATTAGAAATCCTTTCCTCCTAACTTTGTGATTTATCTGTTTTGCAGAATCATTTCAGTGGAAAACACTTTTTACCAAAACAAAATTTGAAACGATATCTTTGCAGTAGCTTACACTTTGTACACTTTGTACATTTTGAGCTAGGAGCTACTTCAGCTGAAATATCTATTTTCTGTATTTAGTAAACTATCTTTTCACTCAAAATTATTTTCAATCCGTCAATGAACGCACTACTCACAAAAACTAAATACTAGTAACATAATCTTCATGCAGACAACCTGAAAAATAAAGCTTTATTATGGGGTGATCTTCTAAGTCAACAGCACCAGATCACAGTCAGCCACACGCCTTAAAATTTTATGATTACTGTCAACGGACACTTCCAAAATGATTTCAATGTGAAAAACAGCAGCATTTTGTTGTCATAAAAATACACAACAGTCAGGACAAAAAAAAGTCATTTGAGTTATGTTAATGGAATTGGGTAGCAGATCGTTCTGTTTCTAAATAGCCTTCTTCCCGGATTCAGCAGGCTGGTAAATGTCGTAAACTGAGATTATGCACTGGCTGCTACCAGTGCCTAAAAACGTGGCTGCTTCATAAGTCTTCATACTTCTTATACTACGTATTCTAGAAAGCTGAAAAGATAATTTTGAATCTACCATTTAACTTGAAACTTGTAAGAAAGCAGATACAATTTAATGGCTCAACCTTTAATGGCAATGAGCTGTTTCACAATATCTGTTTCTTCATCACTGCATTAGGGAAAGAAAAAAAAAAGGACAACTATTGCTTACAGTTAACTATACTTCAGTGAAGTTAGAGATTGTTTTCCCCATGTTCAGTAAAAAAAGAATACTCTAATTGTATTAAGAAAAAAAGACATGGTAGGATCATAAAGAATGTGACAGGATCAAAAGTTTTGTTTCACAACATTTTATCAAAACACTTCAATGTCAAGGCTAACTTGAGGGTATTACAGACTTATTTAGAGACTTTAACCCTACTCTCCTCCCATATCCACTACAGCAAGTGGAACAAGACTCAGAGGCATAGAATCTCCATTCACAAGAATATTAGAAAGCTAGAACATCCCACGAGTTGGGCCATATCCTTAAATCCTACTACTATACTTAAACCAGCATAACCTAGAACCACAGTCAGCTCCTCTAACTTACTCAGTTGATCAGTTTACCTGCCCCTATCCCAGTCAGCAGAGCACCAAGAATCTGAACAAAACTCACTGCTCTCTTTCTCAAACCTAAAGCTCTAGAGTCACTGCTGGATTTGTCATGAGAGGATGTGAATATTCATGCCCCAACTTCTCCTAATACGTGGGCTGTTAACAAAGAATATACTTAGCAAGCTACTGAACACTTAAACTTCAGTATAACAGTGTAGATAAGTAAACATTCTTACCTCACGTGAATTGGTGTAGCCCAACAGCAGATTTGCTGCTTTAATGTCAGCGTGAACATACTCATTTTCATGTATATATTCCAAAGTATCCAGCTATGAAGGGATTTAAAACAAAAAAGAAAGCATCATCTCCACTCCACCCTCAACTCTACCAGCAAATATGTCACACATACACAGTGAAGCCAAGGGCTACACAGACTGAGGTGACCATTTTTAGTTAGAGGACTGCTCACTGTGTCCACAGGGTGCAAAGGTCTACCTTGCCATGAGTATCCCTGTGTAACTGCCATGAGAATACCAGGTCACAAAGCAAAAAGAAAAAGCACTTAACAAACTCTGGAAGAACATCAGGAGAGCACACAGTCAGGCCTGAAAGTTTGTAATATGTTTGATTATGACAATTATTACATGGCTTGCATCTCAAATCACCATTCCCTCCTCACTGTCATCTTTCTTCAGCTCTTTACTGAGACGCAACAGCTCTTACTGATACTTAAAAAACATGTGCACATGCACTTGGCAAATCATAAGAGGGCAATCTTGGCTGTTGAGGAGTGTAAAAATAGCCAAAGAGTGTTCAAAGTTTGTCAGTGATACGACTATAAGAGCCCTTCACCTCATGTTATTTTTGTTTTAGGTTAGAAGTAAACTTTGCAGGCGTCTAGTCTAAAGCCCTGCTTCAAGCAGTGGCAATGTAAGTTAGGCAAGGTTGTACTGTCAAGTTTTAGAAGTCTCCCATGATGGGTGTTGTCCAACCTCTGGGATACACGCTCTAGAGCAACGCTATTCTTTCTGCAAAAACTTTTCCTTAAGATTCAATTAGAATTCCTCTTCTTTCAAGTTACAACCATTGCCTCTGCTCCACTTGCTGTGCACTTCTATGCAGTAATAGCAGTCATTAACAAGTTAAAGCACAAATGAGCACATAATACAACGTTCTGTTAGAACACACCAGTTTTGAACTGGTCTTTGGAACTGGTGTTTGCACACCAGCCTTATCCTGCCTGTACTACCAGTGGAGTCGTGCAGTTCAGCAAACACAAATTTTTGCATTCAGGCATGCAATTGTGAACATTGACAAATATGGATGTCTAATACAAAACCCTTCAAACTCTGAAAGAAAAAAAAAAATCAATACATGTTAAAGCACGAGAATGGGCTTACACAGCTCAGTCTAGACACACTTTTTGAAGCGTATGGTCTGTTTTCACCTATTAGAAAAGGTTTGGTTTGAGCTTCCCAACATTCAATCCACAGATCTTACACTCCATGCTAACTGTATTTTTAAAAGAATGAAAAAATTAAGGAAATGCACACCACTTACATACATTTAATTTCTAAACTCAACAGCTACCTACATTAACTTCATCATTTCAGGAAGATGATTGTATTAGTTGGATTCAGCAATTTGAGGCACAGCAATTTCCCTTCTCTGTATACATACCATTCGTGCCCCAAGTTGCAGAACAGTCTCCTTCTTAAATCTGCTTCCACAGTCTTGAAAGATTCTTTGAAGGTCTTCCCCCAGTCTCTCCATGACCATGAATCTATAGCTGTGCAGAAATCCACAAAAGGGAGAATACCTTAGAGACAAGACGGCGCATCTGTGGCAGCTCCACTTTGTTGAAAAGTGATCTTCAGTCAATTTCAGGCTCAATTTCAATTCATCTTATTACCTTTTTCCCTTGTGCTCAGCCAAGCCTGATCCCCAAAACACTGGGATTCCTAAGCATCTTATTTTTTTGAGATTCATCCATTTTCTTACTGAAATAGTAATAAAGAAAATATAAAATTGGGTTAAAGGTAACTAGAGAATATTCAGAGTTTCATTTCTTTTTTGGCTATGGAGCCATAACTGAGAATAAACAATGAAACAAGTATGACTTATTTTGCAGTTACTGTAGCAAACAAGAGATCACAGCTTTATCCCGAAGTTCTCTGCGTTCTCCCAGACAGGAAGTATTTGTTTTTGTAGCAACATGGCAATTTGTTCCCTTCAAAGGCAGACAAACAATGATCAGTAGCTGTCAAAATAAGTCTTTTGGAAGCACTACTTCACTTCAACAAGTGCTTATGCCTATCAGTGGTTTCACTCATCGGAAGTCTTTAGGACAGTTCCCACAAATACATCCAATGCCAAAGTGTCTGTGGAATCAAGTGCCTTGATTTCTACTAAAGCCTGTGATGATTACACAAGTTCCTAACTTTGTACATGGGAATAGCAACTAGTAGAATTACAGCTGCAAATGGGTCAGTGAAGTACTGCTGTTCTAAGGCTGACAGCTCCCTGGGGCCATACACTGTTGTGCACTTTCTAACACAGTTGTCATACTTCTGTTTTCTCTTCCAATCGGAAAGAACAAAGATAACATTGAAATAAAGAAACTTACAGCAAAATAAAATTATCACTGCAGAAGGCAAAATCAGTTCAGTGTATGTGAAGTTAATTGACTGTCATGCTCCAAAGCATCAGTTCTTACCAGACAAATGAAAACAAAATTATTCTTCAACTGAATCAGAATTCAATGCTTTTCGTTTTCTTAATTTGTTGATCTATTACTTACTTTGCTCTTGTTTTGCAGCCCGTTGGTAAAATTTCAGTTCAGAAAATAAGGGGCCATTTTCAAGATACTCCTATTTAGAAATAAACAAACAGTACAATAAAATACCTCAGAAAGACACCAGATTGTAATCAAAGGTCCTAGAGAAATTCAAAGAGACTTAAAATCACTTTTTCCACCTCCCACATAGCATGCTATCTGACATGCAGGTTTAATAAGTAGTTATTTGGCAATGCACTTTCATACAACACAGATTCTTTCAGGAATTAAGATATTATTTTAAGAAATCCTATCGATCGGACACGTTTCAATTCATAGCTTGATTTTCCTTACCTAACTATTCAGGGCAGCAATCAAGAAAGAATCAAGTCAAGGAAATACCATGTGTTGCGGGAACACCAAGTACATCCTTTAGCAGGGAAAGTACATCAAGATATTAAAAAATAAAACAAACAACGACATATAAAACAAAAACTAAAAAACATCACCACAAGCATGCAACATGCACTGAATGCTGACAATAAGGATAGATAATATAACAATATAACAAATAGATAATTAAGAGAAAGCTGCATACAAGTTAACAACTTAGAAATGAAATCTAAACATTACCACTTTAATTACATGCGTTGCATCATCTTCTACTTGAACATGAATATGAGGGGAAGCTGCAAAATGAGAAAGAAAGGATCAAGCTGCGTGAAATAAAGTGGCAAAGAGCAAGCTAAGATTAACTAAGGTGATCAGAAAAACACATGACAAAGGTATCCAACATTCTATCTGAATTCCTACTTTTAAAGGTCAAAGATTTGCAAATTTAAAAATAAACAACAAATCAACAAAGTAGTGTAAAAGTTTAATCAACAAGCATAGAAGCAATTTTAACCCACGTTTTCAGAGCTGTCTCCTTCAGTGCTAACTAAGGAGTAAGCAGGACGTCCCCACTGCACGTTTTCACCACAATGAGGTATTCCATTACAACAGACTACCAGTCAATTGGATAACCTCTGTATTTGGTTCCTGTCAATCCACTGTCGTGACAAAGACACCACTTAGAAGTTATGACCTACATTATGCCTCTAGACAAGATTGTCGGCTTTCCTCTAACCCAAATTACTCCGGCCTCAGAACCTCGATTTCTATTCTGACATTATTTAGACACTGGCCTAAGTTAGCGATAGCACAGCCATCACCTGTCTAAAAGTGGAGACGAGGGATTGTGCCTCAGTACAATCAGAAATTTCAAAACAATAATTGACCACATGTGCCAATTACAGCCCAGGAGACAGAACCTTTCTGCACAGACAATGTGATTCTATTTAATTCTGACCCTGAGAGAACTATCAGCTCTCTCTGATAGTACTGAAGCTACAGAGAGCTATACTGGGATTAAAATTTAATGAGACTAAATCATCTTTTAGAATCATCATTGGAAAAAAAAAAAAAAAAAAAAAAAAAAAAAGTAGAAAGAATACAGTTCCTAGGAAATAAGTGTTCCTTTCAAACTTCTTGCAATGATCAAATACCAACAACAGTCCAGGTGAGAAACACTTCAACTGTCAGCACACACCAAAAATAGACCACTTTTATCCACACAACAAAAATAATAAAGATAAGTAAACTTGACCAAACCAGCCAAGCTTATATATTTTTAGGGTCAGAAAATACAAACAGATTTCTTCAGATGTCATTATCTTCCTTCAACTTTACTCAGGCTCTGGGTTCAACGTGGCAGCATTGCACCCCAACCCCCACAGCTGTCCTTCACGCTGTTGTCAGCTTGATCACCTCACCATGAATGTTTCTGTTAACGGCACACGAAGATAAAATGAACGTATTCCAAAACAGTAGCTCTGGAATGCATGAACTATCCATGGACTCGGGTGGGTACCAGTCCTGTTCAGTACACAATTCAAAACTATTCTTAGGAACAGGAAGGAAATTTTGGTAAACTCTGTTCTTACCATTTTCTTGTACTAAACTGGGAATTAAGGCACAGGTGCTGAGGCTTTTATCTTTCTTTGTCACACATGGGCTAGGTGCTAACAGCTGAAGATACTAGCTTAAAAGAACACATCCCATGTGTTCTCACTGTAATCAGTAATGTCACACTACTCAAGCAGAATTAGATGCACTCTCTTACTGACACGGATCAGAAAACAACCTGTGTATAAAAAAAATTATTTCAATACCAAATTACTTAACAGAGGCTTGATAGGTACAGAGGAGTAACAAATGTATTTCAAAGGCTGATCTAACTTCCCTGTAGACATCTTGACATTTTATAAAGAGAGGCCTCATTCATGTAATCGGGAACAGACAGTAACAGCTGTCAGGGTAACGAAGAAGAGCAATTAACAGGAGATAGCCCAGCAAAAGGGCCTAACCCTCATGGTTCTCACATTGTAACTGTGCGGATGCTTTTTGGAGTAATGCTGAATGAATATCCTGAAGAAAAATAAAACCAAACCTAACTGCAATCTGTCACAATGTGAAAAGGAAGAGACTTTTAGACAAAGCTCAAGACGACAGAGAAACAGATGCTCTAGAAAATGACTTTCAAATATACAAAAGGAAAAACTGAATGATCATCCTTACCTCACGTACATGAAATAAGGCAGAACATACAGAACGGATAATATCCTACACCTCTTATGCACATAAAGCTCAGATAATCGCATACTTACAGATAGCTAGAAGTTGCCTATGAACCTTTTATTGTGTATTTTAATTAACTATTCAAATATCAGGCAGCAGCATTTACCCATGGCGCAGAAATAAAACAGACTATTTTTTTGTCCATAAATATACATAAATGGTTTTTAAAAAATGGTCTCATTACTATGTATAGTTACTTAACAGACTGGAAAGGCTCCCAAGGTTTAACAAACAGTCTGATTACATACCTCATAGACCACCACCACAGACTCTCCTGCGAGTTTAGCTCATAGTTAATTACTGTATACTCGTAATTAGCCATGTGCTAGCCTCGTTCTGTGTGGTAGCACATGGCTATTTATAATATTACAATCAGTTAAATGCTAGACTGCAGGACAGTAAGCAGAGACCCTGCAGGAGGGCAATGCTGATATGCAGGAGGTCTCTGATGGTGTATAAGTACACACAGAGTACCAGAAGCACTATATGGTGAGATTATGTTTGTAAAGGGTATCTTAAAATAGCACAACAAATGTGAGAGTTCCCACTTTACACTGTGTTGCTCATATGAAATACAGATGCAGTTTCCTTACGTCGGGGGGGAAGAGTGTTCATGTATGCACACAATCAAAACCACTGTGCACTAAACCACTGTTAACTGGGAACACTGGCACAAGATGAATCCGTGCAGGGGCTGCTGCTGTTTCCACCTCAAGCCAAGAAGAGTCCCACAAAAGATTTGCAAAGGGCACAGCTCGATTTTTCTTTCCTCTCCTTCATTTTACAATCACAGCTCTCATGCCACTGCAAAGTACAGAAATACTGAAACAAAGCAGTGTGGTGGGATACACAGTGTTGGTCATTACTTGTGACTATAGTGCCTACAGAACACCGCAAATAACTTACCTCACGTTGTCCAGAATTTCCTAATTTCATCCAGGCACAGCAGTTACAGTCTTATCATCCACCTGAATCACAGATTTCATCCAATTTGTTGCTGAGTGCCACAACCTTAACCAACGTAGCTTTGTAAATGTTAATAACGGCATGATAACAGAAAGAGCTGTTAGAACAGAAACTGTGCTTTCCTACAACCACAACCACAATTGCATGCAGTAGGACAAAGAAAGGTGTCAATTCTACTTGCCAGTTCAAATGTGCTTGTTACAGATTTAGCAGTTAATTTGTGGCAGTCACATGTGGAATACGGTGAAATATTTTCAATAGCTCTCACAGAACCAGTTTTGTTGACAAAGTTTACACTTTGAAAAGAAAACAGCACTGATTTGGTAGTTAGCAAAACATCCCTGCTCCTGTCCACAGCTGGTGTCTTTGCCACTGCTGCATATTTTGAGGATATATTTGTTTTGGCAACGTGAAAAAAGTATTTCAGAAGTTCTTGGGTTGCTAGCATTAAGCTTTTGCTTTGTTTCAGTGGGTACCTAATCAGAAATACCACAACCCGATGTTACAAGCTACCAATAAAAAAGCCTGAAAAAACTCTGACCCCGCTGAGGTCAGCCAACAGCTGTTAAATCCAATGGCTGACAAAAGCATCACTCAGAGCATCTAACAACTGAAAATAATCCAAGTTGCAGCTTTACAGTTACTAAAACCAGAATGTAAACAAATAAACAAGAAATAACATCTGCTGTTTAGTACACAATTACACATATATCCTACATATGGAGAATATTAATGCAAATATTTAAAGGCAAGCAAAAAACATGGCTTCTTAGCTTCCCTCCCCAGCACTTCCTTCCATTCAGTGTTTCCCCAAGAACTGAAACATTCGGTGCTTTAAGTGTCTGACGATGCATCATCACTTTCTTGACACACTCTTTTCCAAGCAATGTTTATGAATATTTTTTCCTACATTCCTCTTCTAGGTAGACTTACCAATGTAGCTTTATTACATGAATTACACATACATGTCCATCTGCCTCGCCTGTGAAATCATCTTCCACAGGACACAAGTAAACTGCTTTTTGAAAGAAAATTGTGCTTAACTGTCAGAGCATTTTGCTGACACCTGTGAATGCCTCCAAGTGAAGGACACTCAGTACTGGCAGGAAATTTCACTGTATTGCTTACACACCTCTCTGTGAAACCTTTGTGATTCACCAAAGCTAAAGTTTTGCATTCCACAGCAACAGAAGCTCCCATTTGCCTTTCAAAGTTAATTACTCTGAGCTGGAAGAGGCATGATACATCCTTTAACCCTAGGCAGAAAAGCTACACATGGTCTGCTCTTACAGCACTCTCAAACAGGAGCTCAGGCCTCTAATATTCTAAACGTGGTGCACAAACTGTTTTCTGGCAAGATTCTGCTCTAGCCCATCTGCCATTTTGATGTAGAGCCCACTAAGAAGGTATGATGCCAGTTTCAGTAGGTTACAGGTGCCAACGACAGCTGTAGAGAGTGCCCTCCATAAGGCAACAAGTGCCACATGTTTCAACCACAGTTTTTCCTTTTTACATATAATCCTATTCTGAAATACCTCCTTCACTGGGAAAAAAAATATTAATAAACCTGCCTTCTTCCCTTTTTAGTTTTACTTAGCATGTCAGGGTCTTGGTATCTGATCAGAATGCCTGCAAAGTGGACAAACAAAGAGCAAAACAACAGCTCCCAAATCACCATGCATATGGACAAACAAGGAAACAAAAGTGTCAGAACAATGAAGCACAATAGTAATGAGCTCTTGCAACACCAGCAAGAACTTGGAGAAGCAAGAGAATTTCCTCTAACAGATGGAGCAATCTGAGCTTGTAACAAGTACCAGCCCTAGGTAACTGCTAAGTAACAAAAAGAGGCCAACTGTACGTTCTAACTTGCCCATAGGGTGAAAAGCTATCAATGTACATACAGCAAGTAGATTGCATAAAGTTTAATATTACTGACTAGATAACAATACTTTCCTGAGGTGGCATTTATCTGGCAATGACTTTTTCACACTAAGGTTCACACCTGCAGGTACAATGAGTGCTTTGCTGAAAAGCACTTTCACACCTGAAGTTTGAGAAAGATCCATCCCTAGTCAGTCGCCTGCTAGTGCTTTTAATTACAGCTTTTTTTGCTATTAATATTCTTCTTTCCATTGAATTGAAAAAGATAATCCTGAACATATACAGTTAGATATTATTGCTACTGCATTGTTAATTTATTTGCTGCAGTACAGTAAATAATTTTGGAGAAGTTAATTTAAGCAATTATGTACCTCATCTCTCTAGAACCAATCACTGAAATCTGCTTCCTAACTCAAACCAAGGAATGAACACTAAGAACGTGATAGAATACGGATAATGGCAATCAATGCTTCTGGTCCCTGGCACATTATACCCCCTAGCAAGGGTGTACAAATTAGCCATGGAAATTTCTTCTTCTGAAATAGAAAAAACCTTTATTTCAGCCCATTCAATCTATTTCTCAGAACACCAGGTCTCAAAGTGTCAACAGCAGAGCAAACCATGGTCCAAACTCAAAGTCAGAAGAGGCCACAATGACTACAGCTCTCTCTGACATTGGTACTAAAATACATTCATCCATTCAACCACTGTTTAGTGCACAGGCAGGTTTTTTTGGTTGGTTGGTTAGGTTTTTTTTGCCTCCTCTTGGAAAATGGAGAGAAAAAAGAAGAAAAAAATGGAGAAGAAAAAATAGCTAGGCAAGTGACAGATCTCCAAGGAGGACAAGAGCATCACTGACTGCTGCATTATCACTTTCCTGAGCTTCTTATATCCTAACAACACCTGCAAATATAGCAGTCAAACAGCAACATACAAACACCTGCTACAAAGCCAGTCATGAAAAATGGTTTCAAAACTTTTTTACCTATCATTTATAAAGTTCTATTGCAATATACAGCTATAATACAGTTAGATCACATTTACCACATAGCAAGTAAAATACACAATCTAACAAAATATAAGTACATGTATTAAGAACTACCTGCTTTTGTTAGAAAGAAGTCTGAAAGCAGGTAATGCTGTGTACACCAGGTTTTATTGCAACAATGGAGTCTTAGCAAAACACTGTGTGACCTTTCTGAATTCAAATTTTCCATCCAAATTGTGCATTAATAGAGTCCTTGCAGCAGGACTACAGAATGATTTATATAAAGACCGCTGTTAATTACTGACTGCAATCAGTAAGATAAATGAGAGGATGTAAGGCTCTCAGTAGCACCCTCCTCAACTCTAGCTTCATTTTTGTATGTTCTGCCATGGTGCTCCACAGGGCTACAACCTATTTGTGAGACCAACAATATGTCATGTCCTCCCCTGGTTACTCTCCATTCTGTTCCTGCCTTATCAAAGGGGTAATGGTTCTGTCTGAGGTATCGGATGGCAAATCAGCACCAGGAACAAAAACCAGCATGTCAGAGCATAGGTAGGTCCAGTGTATGATCCGTACTGCTTTTGCTGAGACAAAAGCAATGTTTGAAAGAATATCTCTAGACAGTTCCTAGTGCTTCTGGCAGCAGAGGAAAGGCAGCTTTTTGGGAGCATTAGGAGGAATCAGTATTTGCCAGCCTCCTCCTATTTATCCTGGTTAAAATAAAAATGCAAAAGAAATCCAAGGGAAGGAACAAGTCAACAGAGAAACAGACAAGATGGCTCACAGACAGGAAAGAGCAACTAGAAAAAACAGTGAAAATGTTCACAATGCAGAACAAAACTTGTAGCTACTGGTAACTGTCACCTACATAATTAGAAGCCCTGCTCCTAAAGAGACTCCCAGCATTGTAGGGCTCCAGGTTAGTGAATGGCTTTCAGCAGCTTTGATTCAGTGAACCTTCCAAGGAATGCATCTCCAGTAAACACGTTTTGCAGAGATCGTGTAAAATATCTCAAGTACATTGGTATAGATTAATGGAGTATGGAGTACCCTTAATGGCAAATTAAGCTATAACAACGCACATCAAAATCTTTACACCACTACAGTAAAAATACTTGTTAGAAGATACAGCCAGAAAAGTTAACCTTTACTTTTATAAAAGGGCCGTGCTGCTCATATCTGGCAAGGAATCAAATCCGACTCCACTTTCCTGTCTTACCCACCTCTCCACAGTTCTTTCTGCATTAGCTTCTCACTGAAATTTTAGTGGCCACTCTCACATTTTGCTGCATACGTATTAGAAACTAGGCTGAAAAGCACAGAGAAAGAAGTTGGCTCAGCACCAAGAATCTGTGTATCATCATCACTCTCCTTGCCATTCAGACTCTCTTCTGTAGGGATATGGTACACGTTACTAAATATGAACATGCATCTAAGATAAGGATGTGGACAAACAAGAAAGTTTCACTCAGTGTCAATACGAGGATATATTTTGCCCATTACCTCTTTTAATTGTAAGATAAGGTATAAGGGGAACAAAGCCTTCAGTTCAGTCCTACATGTAACATTCACTGTCATCCTAAAAGAAAAAATTAAAGAACACAAACACGATTACAAGTGGCAGCTGTAATTCTTCAGCTATGGTGTCACTTATGACAAGACATCTAATTGCAATACCAAGGGTTCCAGGCTGTATTCTCATTCTCAGCAAATCCACTGACTGCTTCCTGTTCCAGTCCAGTGGGACTCAAACTGCAACACCACAAGACATGAAATCATCTCAGCAGTCTGAACAATCAGGCAAATAACTGATAAAATCTATAAGATACCAACTGAATTCCACGTGCTATACCACACACAAGGTCCACTGCAATTTGACTGTAAATGGCAGCTACATTTTGACTCAGGAACTTTTCTGTCTGGCCTGAATTACACCCACAGCTACAGCCTTACTTTCTGCACTGCATCTGCACACCCTCCTCTGTGAGAGCCTTCTAAAAGCTTCTGTCTGCCATTCCTTTGGATCCTGACCCCCACTTGACATCCCTGTACCCTCTCCCACGATTCATCCTTGAATGGCAATATCCAGAAGTAACGTAATTTTACTTCTTAGCTCCCGCCAAGCTCTGTTTTCTTATGGTAACATTTTTCATATTTTCTCTAGGTACAGCAACTCTCAAATGTGAACAACCAGCAGTATAAAGAAGGTCATAAAAAGCTATCATACACATCAGAAGAAAAAGAATGTAAATATTCTTAGCATGCTGGCCTTTGACTCCTCTAACCGCAGATAGCTGAAACTCTTATCATCCCCACTGGTTCAGTTTGCAGAGCCATTAGGTACATGTGAACTGCATCAATTCCAGAAGAAATGAAACTATAGAAGCCCACCAGATATACTCAAACTCTTAACACGAACATAAGGATTCACAACAGTTTCTTCCTCAAATCACACACTTCGGAAATTCTGCGCAGCAGAGCACATCAAAACTAGTCCAAAAAAAGAAAAAAACAAAAAACAAAAAAACCCTTAAATATAGGGCAGATGTAGGCCACGGCCAGCAGCTATTGCCAGTTACTCATATAATTGTTACAACAAACCACCGATGAACAAACACAGCCTTAATTTTCTAATTTTATCAAAGTTTTTCCCGTGACTGTGTTTACTTTGTTGGAAAGCAGAAGCAGTGGCTTTTTTCCTTTTTTCTTAATTTTTTTTATTTACACTGAAATCTCAGTGCCTATACATGGCTTCAGTCCCACCCTCTCTCCAATAAACAAATAAATATAAAAAAAATAAATTTCCACACAAACCTGAAGTCCAGATGTGCAAGAAAAACTGTCCACTTCCCTTCAATTTACAGCCACACATTACTAGCTGGAAGTATAACTATAGGCAAACAACACCTGACCACATATGGGATCATCACATCATGGAACAAAAGATGGGCCTTTAGTTGACATTCTGCTGAGATTAGCCATAACAGACAAGAGGAGGAAAAAAAAAGAAGGAAAGGAAGAACAGTTTGGTGCAAGTGTTCCCAAACAGTTGGAAACAGACAAGCACGAGTTAACCAGTCACAACAAAGATCATAGTAAGTCTGCTACTGAAAGAATAGTGGCATGCAAGTTCCTCATTTATGACTGCAAACACGACAAGAGGAAACACACTAATCCTTATAAAGAAAATGCATCTCTTTATGCAGTAGGTGCCTGATCCTACAGTCTGACACTGATGGACAACTCCTTTTAGGTCTGCAGGGCACTGCTAGACTCAGTGTGGTTTCACAGAGGTGAAGAAGAGCCTCTGTGCAGAACATCTTTTGCTTTACTAAAGCAAAAAAAAGAAGAAGAAAAAAAAAAAAAAGCATCTTTTGCATTACTTCAGAAGATGAGTGACCGGAACTGCACACATGCAGTAGAAAGAAGAAGAAAAAAACAAAACTTATAATGCTGCCTGTGAAAACAGGATTTGTTCTTTCCTACAGATCAGCAATAGCTGCCTGCATATGCGCAGTGACTCAGAATGCTTTACAAAGTGCCTCACAATGACTCATTCCTTGCCACACTCACACCAAGTGAAAGTTTCTTCTGAAGAAAGTACAGAAACATAATAAGTACAGAATAAATACAGAAACAAATGAAGACTGGCAATTACACCTCCTGCGGTTTATGCCTCTGATTCACGTGAGAACATCAAGACGAAACTCACACGTCGCCCTTATCATTACTGAGGGTTTTACCTCAATACACCGCATTTTACCTAAGTAGATCAGGCCAAACCCGCCCTGGCCGATCTGGCTGCCCAGCCTCCACGTTTTTCCCTCGGTGTCCTTCAGGATCATGTCTCTCGGCAGAGGAACAGGCAGCTTGCCCCTGCCGCGCTCCTTGGGCGGCATCGCACCCTGAGGGGATGAAAGGAAAGTAAAAAAAGTTGACTTTCCTCCGAAAAAAGCGAGATCCTTTGCCGGCCGGGCCCGAGGAAGGCGCCCAGCACTCCGCGGCCGTCGGGGAGGCGCCGAGCCCCGCCAGCCGCACACCCACCCTCAGCCGGCCGCCAACGTCCTCGCCGCCGACACCCCCCGGCCCCCTGAGCGCCCGCGGCCTCCCCCCGCCTCCGCTCACCAACTTCCCGACAAGGAATTTCCCGCAGGCCTCTCTTGGGCGGCACACCGCTTTCCTGGGGGAAACCCCGGGGCGGGGACGGGGCGGGACAACCAAGGCCGGGCCGCGCGCTCTGCCCGCCCGCTGCTCCTCTTCCCGCCGTTCCCGCCCTATGGCCGCCGTTCCCGCCCTGGGATCTGCGCTCAGCGCGCGCCGTGCCGCTCCCACAGAACCACAGAACCGCAGAATGGCCGGGATTGGAAGGGACCTCAAGGATCACCAAGCTCCAACCCCCTGCCGCATGCAGGGCCACCAACCTCCACATTTCATACCTGCCCAGGGCGCCATCCAACCTGGCCTTGAACACCTCCAGGGATGGGGCATCCACAGCCTCTCTGGGCAGCTGTTCCAGCACCTCACCACTCTCATAGCAAAGAACTTCCCCCTGACATCCAACCTCAGTCTTTGCATTTTATCACTAATCTATACACCCAGGCATACCTTGGATCTCATCTTCAGACTGTTTTAGAAAAAAAAGGGCACTAATCACTTCACTGTTCAGCTGCTCTTCTCTCCGGATGGACCTTCACAGTCTCCATGCAATTGCTAAAACGTTTTACCAACAGATCAAGGCCCTGCTGGGGTGGGGGGGATGATTCCAAGAGAATAAGCAAAATCCAGATCATCTTCTGTGTCTACACTTTGCAAGTAACAGATCATGACTGCAAAGCATGCATCAGCATCAATCAGCATCAGTAGAGGAGAAGATAAAAGTAAGGACTTTTAAAATAAAACATAGTAAGGACCTTACAGCAAAAAGGGCTTTTTTCATTGCTGGTAGCATGTACCACATTAATGTTTTTGAAGACTTAGGTTATATATGTAACATCCAAGTGACTCATGCAGCAGAAATACAGCATAGGTGGTAGACTTAGACCCCACACAGCTGTAAAAAAGTTGTCTTGCACTACTTAAAAGAAGTTCTAGGTTGACAACCATCTAGGTTTTCATCCAGAGGCAAGACTATCTGAAATCTTTCCCGTCTTTACTGATTGCTTTACAAGCTGTAAAATTCAACATGGTATGAATAAAGTATATTCTCTACAAGTCAGAGGAGAGAGATCCCAGAAACAAGAAGCATTTGTTTTTGCATCAACTCTGCCCTTGTGGGGCCCATCTGCAGTACTACATCCCCCAGCACAAGAAGGATGTGGAGCTGTCAGAGCAGGTCCAGAGGAGGGCCATAAAGCGATCAAAGGTTTACAGCACCTCTCCTATGAAGAAAGGTTGAAGGAGTTGGGCTTATTCAGCCTAGATAAGGCTAAAAAAACAAAACAGAACAAAAACACACAAGACTTAAACATTTAAGCTTTCGTCATCATTTGGAGAGTTAAAAACTTGCAGAAATAAATGCGCGGAAATACAATAGAAATTACGGTTATCATAAAGATTTACTGCAAAAAGTTCTTGAGTAGTTCAAGCTACTTCTGAGGAGTGTTTGTTATCTAAATCAAGGTGCTTATTAATAAAGAACCACAGCAAATAGAAAATAAAAAAAGCCGACACCAATTTTGCCAGTAAATTGCCTGCTCCAGAAATAAGCGTATGTATATAACCAATTAAAAAGCAACAAACTTCACTAAATTTACTTGAGGAAAAAAAAAGAGCAGATTAGGAAGAAACTGTAGGTCATCTTCACCCTAAAAATAAAGCATTGCTGTGTTTTGTGGGAAGGACTGAGAAAACCTCACTTATTATCAGCCAGCAAGCCTCTCAAGAAACATGAGCTCGTTAGTCAGGTTAAAGCCTCAATTTCCCTTTCACAGTAGCTTCAAATTAGCAGTTTGAGAACTGTGATGGAAGAGGATATAAATGCCTAAAATATTTATTTATTTGTGTTTTCTCTGGTGTGGTGGTTTGTCATTTTTTTTTTTGTTTTTGGTTTTGCTGTTGATCATTCGTTTTTTGTTCTTTTATTTCTTGCAGAAACACCAATTATGATGGAAGCTATTTCCCTTCAAGGTAAGACAGCCAACATTATTGCTAAGTTCAAGAATCCTTACAGGAGAAAAATATGTACGCTAATAAGAATAAAAATATACAAATCCTGCCAGCACACAACTGAGCATGACCTCAGTTGCATACCTTATGCCTAGACAGAAACAGTTTTTTTTCCACTGAGTAGTTTTCTGGGTTATTGTTGTTTTTTTTAAATTTTTTTAGCTGGGTGAAAGGAGAACTAAGGCTTACTGATCAAGATGTAGTAATGTATGTAGTCTGCGTTAAAGGTAAGGGATAAGCACACCTTTTCCTCCTAGTGAGTATTTTACTACTGCAAATAGTGCTTATGATACTATTGTTCTAATGAACACATGCTCCCTAAAGATGTCAGCTTCTGAGACTCAAGACGTAGGCACTGAAAATCAAATTATTGTTATTTTACTTATTAATGGCACATTGCTGCCAACAGCTGAGAGCCACGGGCCCTTCTCATTAGGAATCAATCCTTCATGCAGCTTGGTGTGTGCAAACTCTGAGCAGTGTTTTGCAAGTGGTGCAACAGGCTATTTGCACGTTGGTATAAATGGCTCCAATATTGACAGGCTTTTTTTTGAATTTGTATTTCTTGCAATATCTATCTTGCTATGTGAAATATGAGCAAATCCTAGCTTCTCTGCAGAATCAATGCAGCTATGATTACCACTGTTCTCTTGAAAAAGAAAACAGTGGTGCTATGTTGCCATGATGGCTCATCCGTAATTTGACTGTAGGCATCTAGTTACCAGCAGAAGTCCTTTCAGTTTGTGAAACAAGTTTAGTTCCCTAAGTAACTCTTGAATACCTGCTTTCACTATCTAGCTGTATATTCGGATGTACTGTGCTATTAAGTATCTGGCTTCTTGAATTTGTTGGCACCTAGGAGCTGCTCCAGAAAGTGGAAGGTACAAACTGGAGTTTTGTCTTAGTTTCATCTAGAATTGGATTATTTTCTTCAGAGTGTCTGGTAGGATGCTATGTTTTGGTTGTAGGAGAAGAAAGTTGATAACATACCAATGTTTATAGTTTCTGCTAAATAGCACTGTACAGAGCCAAGGCTATTTGCAGCAAAGGGCCCAAGGAGCTGGGAGGGAACAGAATTAGGACTAGCTGGGCATGGGTCAGGGGTGGTGAGCAATTCCTCGTGCATCGCTTGTTACATACATATATTTATGTATATTCATTATAGCTATTATCCTTTCCTCTATCTTAGAACATAGTTTTATCTCAATCCATCCACAAGTTCTACTCCCCCGCTCCCCCCCCAATTATCTCCCCCATCCCACTGGGAAGAGGGGAGCGAGCAAACAGTTGTGTGGTGCTCAGCACCTGCCTGGTTAAGCCACAAGTTTTATCCTGCTCTTTGTCTCTGAAGCATTGCACTACTCCTAACTCTCTTGACAGAGTAAGTTTCAGAAGTTGATAAAAAGCATTGTGCTGTTAATACGAGTTAAGTGTTAAAAATGCAGTGAAATTATCAGAGAGCCAGAGCTTTCTTCAGGCATTTAACAGAACAACAAACTTTTTATCCATGTTTGAAGACTGCCTGTTTATATCTTTGTTTTAAAGTATACCTATGTTTTAGCATTATTTTCTCATTTCTAAACTTTAATATTATAACTTCAGTTACACAGGATCTTGCAGCCTCACATACACAAATCTTAGATTTGTTGAGTTAGGTGAGCAATTTCTAACTTCTCTCACTGTTGCACTGTGACACTTCTGTGGTACTTAGCACTGCCATTTTAGTATTTCCACTGTTAATTGTCCCCCTCCAATCCAGATGCCTTTGTTTAATGTATCATGCCTAAATTTACAGTAGAGATGTAACATCTCTGTATTAAAACCGTAAACAAGAAATCACTTTTCCCAATTACTACAGAGAAATCCACTTGTTTGTGCATGAGCACAGATTTCTGTGTACCTGTGCTAATTCAATTGTTATTGTTCTTGCTTCCTATTTCTTAGAACTTTTAGAGTAATTACTTTCTGCGGTATCAGGGGATCTCCAACATCCAGGGGGCATGTTGCTCAACTCAGTCACTGTCTGGGTGCACCGACTCCCATTTTAAAGACTCTTGACACTATTTTGTGTGACTGGCCCCATGATTGAGATCACGTAATTACAATAATTAGGAAGCTCACCTCAGGATATTATCAGAGCAGCCCACCCAAAACCTAAGTCCATATGGTTTGAAATAGCTAATGAGTCAGTTAATGTGCTATGTCCAGGAGTAATGGACGCTCAATATGGATGGCATGAAGACATAATTTACCAACTTCCTGACCGATTAAGGTTTTGTATGTAGACAATTCTTGTATTTTGTATCTCGTGATAAGTTCAAGGTATTAAAGCTTTTATGTGTTAAACAGAGCAGAAGAAACAGGTGAGACCTTTATAAAACAGGCAAGAAATTAGGCCTCTCTCTAAAGAAAATGCAAAAAAAAAAAAAAAAAAGGAGATCTTAAAACATTTATCTTAAAAATAAATCTACAAACAAATTATTTGAAATGCTATATTAAAATACAGGAGATGTCAACGGCAATACGTGACATTTGCTTTAATGCCAAGTAGCCTAAATGAATGACTGACTGACTCCTGCACTGCCCTTTGCCAGGCCAGCAAGGATAGTCCTAGAGGGGTTGTTTTAGCCTCTATGACTTATCTGCCAGTTCCTACTGCTTTAACTAAAAAGATACGTAGAACATGGGTGCATATCCTATCTCTTCTTGTACGTCAGGGATTTTACTTCTCATACCTTTAGAAGGAAATTACTTACAAGCATTGAAAATAAATGGTCTTTAGCCACACTTATTTAATTCAAAAATATGCTAGGACTTAATGTTTCTTATTGTTTCTTATTGTTGTGGGGGTGGATTGTGTTTTCAGAAGAGAGCAAAATATCAAGTGGCTAAAGTAATGGAGATCAGAAATGATTTTCCTTATGGGAGTAATTCTAGTAATCCTAATCCTGGCTCTGCTGCTGATGTTAAAGGAATAATTTCATACCTGTCTCACTTTTTCCATGGTGAAGCAATCCAGTTGGCTTGTT